GGGGGGGGGGGGGGGGATGGGGGCATCATTTTTTTGACCTCTTTTATAGTGGGCCAGCAAAAAAGAGCCCCTTCAAATCTCAAATCCAATTTTACCCCCCTCCCACTTTACTTTATGACCAGTCCATAATAGAGAAAAATTAAAACCCCATTCCATTTTATCAATTAGTAGTAACCAATATCCATTTAATGCCCAGTGGCCCATTGAAACTCTCTAAAAATGGCTCTTTCGAAAATATGTAGAATGTAGAAGTTTGAAAACAGGTATATTTTCTTAATCAAAGATATATTTTCTCAAACAATAACTGTATTATTGACAGAAAGCCAAAGTTCTTTCTTTGGATGAATCCAGAGAACTGCAACTAAAGCAGAAAGAAGAATATGAGGTAAGCTAGAATAAGAAACATCAAAAGGGTATAACTTTGATTGGTTGACTGGTTTGAGGCCATTGATTGGTTGACTATGATTAATGCCATAGAGAGAATAAGAGAAAAATATCAAATGCCCTTGGCGGGAATCAAACCCACATCTTCGGTATTCCAGTCCGATGTGTTAACCACTACACCACAAGGACCAACCACGCTGGTAATGCAGCCGGAATATGAAATGTAGGGTACTTGTGAGGATCCCAGAGCGATATTTTTTCTCTATAGGTAAGCTGAACACCATAAAATTAATATGTATGCAAAGAATAGACATAGTATAGTAGTAATAAATTATGCATTTGGTGTGTGTAATGGAATAGAAAGAATAAGAGAAAAATATCAAAATGCCCTTGATTAATGCCAGTCTATCATAAATGCCTGAGGGTGACACACACACACACAGGTGCCATAATGCTTTATTTACATTTTTGCAATTTCTATTTTAGGCTTTGAAAGCAAAACATGCAGCAGAGAAGCTGTTTGAACACATCGACAGGTCTTCAATTCAGACTTTTTCTACTAGTTATGAGTTCAGTAGCATGGAGGCCAAAATGAAATACAGAGAAGATGATGAGGAAAACGTACAAGAAAATGAAGAGGACAGTGAATCTGAAGCCAAGTTATATGAACAAGAACACAGTGATGAGGACTAATATTCGTTTGTAAAAATATAGCACTAGACAAGATATTTTTTGAAAGATGGTTAATTAGAAATAAGCCATGTGGGGAAAGGGAGAAGCTGGAGATAAATAAATTGTAAATGGAAAGTAGGGTCTATTTTTTGCTACATCAAAAACAACAAAACAGTATCTAGTAATTTTTTTAATAAGCTATTGGTGGTCAGTAAGAACCATTAGCTCTTCTGGTTTTACACTTTGCTTGGTTAATTAAAACCATTAAAGACATATTTATAAAATTTATAATGACTATTTGGTTCTTGAAGGTTTGGATGCCAAACTAGTCGTCATAAATTTTATAAGTGTTTTAAAACCAAATCTTYACTAAGATATATTACGTGCAAAGGAAAATGCTATAGCACACATCCCAGAGCTTGGTTTTCTCTTAAAACGTCTTCTTTTCAAACTCATTAAGACATGCATTACGAACTTTATTGAATAGCTGTTTTTAGTAAAGTACCTATATTTAACTTCGGTAGTTCTTTCAGTAATAAGATATAACTAGCTAAAAACTAGTGTGAACTAGTTCTTTCAGTTGTAATCCAACTGCTATCAATGGAAGCTGATGGTGCGCACTGTGATATTCTTTTGTTTAAGAATTATACAAGCGAGGCTATCAGGTCAATACAATGCTTTTTGTCTCATTTGCATAAATCCATATCTGCTAAGTTCAAAATAGTTGCATAATTTCTTTGGCAATATAATTGTTACGGGTTCTGTAGCAGCCTTTGATCCAACAAGTCTTTTTGTTTCATGGTGTGTAATGGAAATACTCAATTCAAAYGATTCCTATATATGAGTGTTTTCATGCACTTTTCTTTCTTACACAAAAATTTTTCCATTTTTATGGGTTAAATAGAAATGTTTGGTCTTAAGCATTCTTTGATGTCAGGAAACAAGAGAGATCAAACAATGGGTGAAATCTATAAACGTTTTAACAAAACATTTGCATATGATAGTTACCACATGAATTCATTACGCTTCCTATCCATCTATATTTAATTCAAAGCCCTAATACAATAGTATAATTTTAATAACAAGCCTAATCTATATACAATTCTACCATTAATTAATGTTACTCAGGTCAATTTCCAGGGGGATCTCAGGGAGTTTGTGACACCTCTTTCTATTGGCTATTATAATAGTTGAGTTCCCAGTCATATTTAAATGTCTTTGTCTTTGAGTCCCCCCCCCCCCCCAATTATGTACAATATTTCCCACCCCAGCCTCTCAGAAACAAAATGTTTCGCTAGACCTTCACGATGTAACAGACAATTAGCCTTTCCAGAGTTGCAAACACATTTCATCATGAGACTAGCTGTTTTACGGGATGCTTTAAAATACTAACTTACAGTGTATATAGTGTCTTTCTCGCTTGTTGATAGCAAAAAAAGGGCCTTTTAAATTGTCTTGCTAATTTTCAAATTTCTCTCCTTTCTTGAAGTGAATGAGACGTTAACTGACGATATGATGAAGCACCCCTCAAAACAGCCCATGATGCAACACATATATAAGTACTTTAGAAAGGCTAATATCAGTGGCACTATAATACTTATATAATACTTAATACTACTGTAATACTACTATAATACTTCTTTTCCCTTTCCACTTTCAATATTTTCTTTGACCCCATCACTGTGAATCAAAACAACAGTGTCCGCTACTGTAGATTCATCTGCTGATTTAGTACTCTTTTCTGGGGAATCTTTTGACTTATCCCCAACTTCAACCTCATCATCCTTCACATTCATTTCTTGTAGTTCATGGTGTTCATCTTTAGCAGGTGAGCTTGTACCTGCAGCTTCTGCCTCCTGCTTGTCTTCCTCTTGTCCTCCATGTTCTGGGCTTGCATCTGCAACTTTTGTACTTGAAATGGGAGGCTTTTTAGGTTGTTTGCTTGAGGTGTTGATGATAAGGCTGCCTGGTACATTTGTGTATAGTCTTACCCTATTGATCAAAAATGGATAAGATATGATATTAGTGGAAGGTCTGAGCTGGAAAAATTTAAAAAATTTTGCTATAGGGTATCCCTTTTCTAAAGACTATTTTTCTTTAGGTGCAAATGTGTTTTCCTGTTTCAGACCTCTTGGAAAATACGGGTTAAGTTTCTTTATTTTGCAGTTACATTCAAGGAAAAAAATAACTTTGATCATCCATTGCACAATATTACATCACATAAGATAAAAATAGTTGTGAAATAAGAAAAAAAGGCCCAAGTGTAAGAGGGAAGGGGAGTGAAATATGGCAAATGAAAGAAGCTGCTGGGAAAAAATAAAGAAAAATTAATGTTAAATCATGTGCAAACACTTTATCAATGCAAGTTAAAAATAAATTTATGTATGTACAGTGTGTACAAGACAAAATCCATGCCCTTAATGTATTCTTATATTAGACCATGCATTTGGTAGCTGATATATTGTAATGTTTACATTCTGCCTACAGACAGTTACCATTTTATTGCTCTATTTTGTGGCTTAGGCTCTCGAGGATAGTTATGTTCTAATTACATGCGTACAAGTTAAATCTTTAATTAAATTTTGATCCCAGTCTCAAGATTATTTAATGGCTTTATCTTTAATTAGATACTTAATAAAGAACTGTTAAGTGATGTAATGTATGAAATCAATTTTCCTGTTCTAGAATACTTAAAATATAATTATTCTGTCATTTTATTTTGTTCACAGCCTGTTTCTGTGACCTAACCCACTCCAGATGTCTGATGGTTTGGCTACCATCAATCAAATTACAACRGGCCAATTCAGTTCGATCATGAGGGATAAATATTCCTGTGACTTGACAGCCATTTCCCCATGGGATATAGGCTGTTGAGAAGTGGTAATATTCATTGTTCACGGTCAAAATGCACTCGGCCCATTGCATATTGACGGTAGCCAAAACACTAGACATTTGGAGTCAGTTAGGTCACAGAACCATGAAATGGGCTGTAAAGAATGAAGTCATCTTTCAATGTAATGTTTTTTTGAAAGTACTTTAGTTTAACAAACAACAATGGAAAGACTAAACCGAATATTGGCACACCTCTTGGTGCACAGCACAGGTCTACCTGGAATTGATCAACTTCGATTCAGTCAACTAGCTACAGTGTGTGAGGTACCTCATGCTTATCCAATGAAAATGCTTTAGCACAAGCACTGCCCTATGGTTTTTTTGAAAAAGGATAGATCCACCAGTTACAACATCAGGATCATGTATGGAAACTAAAGCAACAATGTAATATATGCATGCTTATCAGAGAAAATACAAGATTAGAAATGTATGCATGGAATCTCAGTGAAGTATTGAAGGAAAAAAGAAGTCAGTAAAAGATGTGCACATGCATTTAATGCAAGAAACTGATAGCATTCAAGAGACATGATGCATGCAATGAAACAAATCAAAGTCTTGATAARAAAATTGGGTAAGGTGAACTAGCTTTTTAGCAATGATGAAAAACAGTTTTGGGACAAGGATAGGTCTACCAGTTAGTGTACAACATTGAATATGGAAGCAAAATATATGGTAAAAAAACATAAAATATATGCATGCTTTATATGAGAAAAGATAAGAAGAATATGTATGAAATCTCAGTGAAGTATTGAAGTAGATAAGACAGTGAAAGGTGAATACATGCCAATTAATGCAAAGCATCCATGAGACATGCATGCAATGAAATGAATGAACTATAAGAAAATCATATTCATTCCATACACTAGACAATAAGAAAGAATAGAATAGAATGGAATAGAATAGAATAGAATAAAAACAGCAATTGCTTGGTATCAACAGAGATACTCGGTACATTTTATGGATGCTTCAATGGTATCTTTTATGCAATGTCAGGCCATAATGAGAAGTGCTGTATACTTCCATACCTCTCTCAAAAAATTCAAAGCAACAGGAAAGGTTATAGGTGAGTATAAGAGGGTTAACATTATATCCCTTAGATATTTTCTGGACCTGTAGCCTGCACTGCATCATCTTCCTGGTTAGTTCTAGTGTGTCCTAGGGGAGAATAAGCCAAAAACACCTGCAGTACAGTGCAGGTTACTGGACCTGCAAGGCGGATATATATGAGGTTCACTAGATTAAATCTGCTGATTGATACCAAGCAATAAAGACTAGATTAAAAGACAAAGAGTACCGAATGCAGAGAAGTAATGTCAGCGCACACATTTCTCTATATCAGACTAAATGAGCTACTGTTTCCATACTGGCAGCAGAAATGGCATCTAGGTTCACTCTAAAACACACAAAGATAAGACAAATAACTACTGGAGTTAGTGACTCTACAGTAGAAAGTTCAACTACACTTACTATACTGAGATAAAAACAACTAAACGAAACTTAAGGTCACAGGTCACGGCAAAGATAACAATAACAAAAGGTCATACAAACAGTACATATTTATATTAGGGACCTGAAAAATATCTACAAGCATCTGTAGACAAGCATGTTTATTCACAATTTCCAAGAGAATGACTTCTTCTATGGGAAACACAGGTGGTGTAGCAGTGAGAGTGCTTGCCTCTCATCAATGCAACCCATGTTCAAGTCCTGCCAGGCTTGGTGTCGTATGTGAGTAGAGTTGTTTGTTGGTTCTCTCCTGCTTCAACGGTTTTTCTCCAGGTTCTACGGTTTTCCTCCCCCCACGAAAATCAACTTCTAAATTCCAATTCGATCATGGTACAAGGGCCAAATGTTTGTTAGCCACTGGCTATTAAATGCCAGCCTCATAAAAACAAGGAATGGATGAAAACCTTTGCTTGTGCTCTTGTAAACTCATTCTGAAGAACTGGATTGTTAGGCTCTTAGATTATTGCTCCAGCCAACATTGCTGCCACATGAAATTTATTGTCTATTAGGTCTACTAATGATTATATATAACTGAATTTTATAAATTTTAAAAAGGTTAATTATTGATTCATTTTCTATAACAAAAATGTTTAAAATGTCCAATGTTCAATTAAGCTTCTGGGCTGACCTAAGTGAGGGTACAGCTATTAATTCACAGATTTAAACTATGTATTATTTCTTTAAAAAATTCAGTCAAGTTATCTTGTCATTTGGTTATGTACATTTGTTTCAATGGTTATTATTTTATTCAAACTTGGTTGATTAAAACATTAATTCGTAGGAAGAAATTTTAAACACATACAGTAATTCCTAAATATTTAAATAAAAACACTAAAGTAATATACAAATATGCTATCAAACCTGTCTTTAACCTGCTCCACCAAGTATGCAAACTTCTTGTACTGTATATTGCCAAATTCCTGAAAAGCAAGCCCATAGAAGTTTAGTTTAGAGGTTGAATAACTTTAACTTGAGTATATACTCTTTTAGGAGTACATGTATGCCTTAAAAGTTTTGTGCATAATTTGGAGTTTAATTTTCAATAAAATTAAGGAAAAATAAATGGTCTTTAGAAACAAGGAATAAAGTGGCTTCTTTAGCAAGTGTTTATTATTCTTAGTTCTGACATTATAAAAGAGCAACAACAACAACAGCAGCAATGATATAATAACACTTAAAATTATTACTATTATTATTTATCATTATTATAAAAGGTATTAAATTAGATTTAATAACAATAATGTAATAATAATAATAAGTTTGTAAATCATTAAAAAAAAATAATAATAATAAAAGAATATTTACATTATGTACTTTGTGAAAATTTAAAGAGAAAAAGTTACTATTTACAAAAAACTAGAAAAAAACAAAATGAAAAACAAGCATTATAAAAAAGTCTAAAATTATCTAATATCGGCAAGGTTAGTATTAATGCTAAAGTCCAATAGAAAGTCACTTTCGTTGTTCTTATAATTATAATTATAATTCTTTATCATTATTATTATTGTTATTATTGAATCCTCTTCTGATAGCAGGATTATCAAAGGCTTGGCCTTAAACTATATTAAAATTATGCCTGAGGAAAACATGATACACGAAAACATAAGGCCAAACAAAAAAATAAGTGTGTTTCCAGTTGCRCTACCGACCCTAATTTTCTTGCTGATTTTTGCCAACCCTAATATTTTTTCATTCCCAAATGCAACAACAGGGTTCCCAGTAAGCTCATTTCTACTGTTGTATCAAGGTGGTATCAGTAAAAAGAAAAAATACGACCTACTGACCCAAATTATTTTTTTCATGCAACAGGAACACACTTATTTTTTTGTTTGGCCTAATTAATCTAATAACATTACATACCTTTGCCTCAAACCTTGCATGCTCATACATATCAGCCAGTTTGTCAATAGTTTCATTCCCACCCCTRATTACATTATATGGGTGTTTCTGTAACATCTTTAGGTATCCCCTTACTGATTGTCCTTTGCGCCGAGTGTATTTGTAGTTAATAGAACATATCAGGTCATCTAAACAAAATTAAAACGATAATACAGTATGTCAGATCAGCTGTTTATCAGAGAAACAAAAATGGAAGTATTGATGACTGGCATATAAAYTTACCTAATTCACCCATTTTGTCCATTGCTTTCATTCTGTACTTATAGCCACGAGCATATTGATCTAAAAAACAGTTTATTAATTTTATTATGATAACAATGTTGAATCAATCATAATATTGTATAATAAGTCATAATTCAAATATGGATGAAGACCCACTTTGTGATAATGCCACTGTTAAATCCCAATTAGTTATTATCATTATCTTAATTATTCATAATCGGGAAAGAAAAAATGAATAAAAGTAACAGAAATGGGAGAAAGAATGGGAGGAAGGAAAGGACAAGATAAAAGGAAGAGAGGGAGGAAAGTGGGAGAAAATAAATCAAGAAAGAAAGTCCGAGAAGGAGAGGAGAAAAGAAAAGGGAAGAAAGGATGGAAAGAGGGAGGCAGAGAATGACAGGAAGAAAGGATAGGCAGATAAAAGGAAGAGAGGGAATAAAGTGGGAGAAAATAAATCAAGAAAGAAAGTCCGAGAAGGAGAGGAGAAAAGAAAAGGGAAGAAAGGATGGAAAGAGGGAGGCAGAGAATGGCAGGAAGAATGGAAGGCTGAAAAAGACCACAGAATTTAAGGGATTTTTATTTCCAGGAAAAACCAAGAAAAGAAAGAAAAATAGTCTGTGATTCTTTACCTGGAGGAGAATCAAATTCATTTTCTTCTTCAGTTTGTTTGTTAAACTGTTCAGACATCATTCTTGGTTCTATTCTTAATATTGCAATCCTTCTGAGTCTCAATTCTATATCCCTTAGCAAGCTCTAAAATAATATTGAAACAAAATATGTAATAAAACCGAGGATTTCTAAGCACTAAGAATCTAGAAGATATAACTAGCTAAAAACTAGTGTGAGCTGTGTCGGCGTTCCTAATGAAACAGTAATGATAAAAAGGTAAATCATACACCGTGAAAAGATGAAAAAACTTACTGACGTTTCGGACGCTAGTCCTTCGTTTGAGTAAAAGAGGAACCACTAGCGTCCGAAACGTCAGTAAGTTTTTTCATCTTTTCACGGTGTATAATTTACCTTTTTATCATTACTGTTTCACTAAGAATCTACTTCTGAATGTCCCTACTTTTATTTAAGGTAGCTGCCTAATATTGAATACCCAGTGGATAGACCTTTTTAGCTTTGTATGCAAATTGCCCACCACAGATCACATGTCGTTCCCTTGTGAATTGTTCTTTTATAACGAACATGTTAAAACATTTACATATGAAAAAATCAACTCCCAAGAGAGGCAACACAAGGTCTGAAATGTGCACAATAAACAACAAAGCTAAAAAGGTCTATATTTTATATTAAAATATATGAGGGGGTACTAGGTCAAAAATATTGGGGGGAGGGACCCTAGTAAAATGCCCTATGTATGAGTAACGTACTAAAATTTTCAGTGTTAAATATACATAGCAATAAAATTACTGGGTGGTGGTTGGGGGTGGGGCAATAGAATCATACACCTTTTGATAACATACCCTTGGCGCATCAGCACCCACAGTTATATGAGGACCTCTCTTGGATATCAACAACATCCTAAGGATTTGTCTTTTAATTAAGATGACTATCATAAGACCAAACTGAAAGGAAAGCAAAAGGATATACATTAAGGGTGTGGCAGGATTTCCATGCAGGGGACGACGTCTCACTAATGTTAATAATCCCTCCTTCCTCTCCCTCTTTCTCCCTCTCCCTTTTTCATATTAGAAGGTTGCAGGAACTTTGTTTAACCCACATGTTTTTTCTCTTGCATCCTCCACATCTCGTAATATTCTTGTACATTGTAACATATAAGCTTAGTTTACATTTGTTTGCATGGAATCACATGAACCTTTGAACCAAAAACATATACATGTAACTATATTGCCAGTACCCTAGGATCCCCCTGGATACGCCCTTGTATATATAACTCGTTAATAATGAAACAACATAAAATGTCGGATATTTGATCTAAGGGAAATGCGACAGGTTTGAGCCACTTAAAGTTGAACATGCAAAATTAAACTATGAGAGATTGTATTACCGATATAGTAAAGATAATCGTGACAACCAATCCAACTCCTCCTAATCCTTTCAAGAGCTTTGCATCTGTCTCACTGACGGGCTCAGAGATCTTATCATCCATGATTGTACAGTATATAAGGCCACCCTCAGAGCGTCTTATATCTAGCTAACTTCAAACTAAAACTTCAATTCTTTTGTAGCTAAAGGATAGCTAGAGTCATGCCTTGGGAGAAGAGGATTCCTTTTCCTTTATCTCCATCGTAAATATATAAAACTCAAGGCATCTTACATCTTACAGTGCTTATTTGTTCTAAATATTAAAAGCTACTTTTCCAAGATGGCGACCACAGTGTTTATGAGCCTGCGAACAAATAACCAGCTGACATCAGTGCGATCTTATGTTACTCGTCACGAAATAGCAACCTTTCAAAATGGCGGATTTTTCTCTTGCATTTTGACTTTAGAAATCGGAGCATAAAAATGTCTGAATCAAAGCTGACAAATGCGCAAAAGGCACGCATAGAGCGCAATAGACAAAAGGCATTGCTTCTTCGAAGTTCTCGCCTATCGAGTCGTCCGTATCCTCAGAGATCGAAGGATGATGAATGTAGAGAATCAGAGGTTACATCTAGTAGTGGTGGTACTTGTGTTAGTTTATCCAGGGTTGTGGATTCTGGAGGAGGGTTCTTGTTAGATGCAGAAGAAGAGGAGTTGAGTAGAGCACCAATAAATATTGTTGAGCAACCAGGTATTCAAATATTTTCAAAATTTTGTCGTCCTCCATCAATGATTGATGATTGATTTTTATCATTCTTTTACAGCACCCATCCTTGGAGGCCATCAACTAGTTTGTACAATATGTAATAAAGAATTTATGGATTCATTGATTTTTCGGATTTTTGATGAATGTATTTGTGATAGTTGCAGGTTAGTTAGAAAGTATTGCCTTTGCTTTTTCAACTTCAGATGATTTCAAATTTTCCTGTGATAATACAATTTGAGACTATAATTTCCTAAGCCTTTTGGCATTTTTATCAGGAAATTTTGGTGACCCAGCGTCTGAGGATTATATTGTTGGAATTTAGGTTATTCACTTCTAATGTAAAATTTCAGAGAATCTGATGAGACAGGGGACCTTAAATTAATTACCAAGACAGATGCTAAGCAGGTACATAGTGAATTATGAGATTTGGTATCATTAACTTGGTACTCCAAAACTTATTAGAACTTAAAATCTTATCCAGTGGAAAAATTGATTGGATATAATAGCATCAACCTGTCCACTGGATAAGGATTTGTCCATCAGATAGTGCTGTCCACCCCACTGGATAAGGATCGATCCATCACATAGTGCTGTCACCCTTCATACAACCAGCCCCTGTTCTTCCAAGCTTTGTAGCTTATAATATTTTTAGACCCACTAGCCCCCATGCACTAATTAAATAATAGGACATTTGCATGACAGAGTCATTTCACTTAATTCCTAAACAAGATGCTCCTCAAATTTTCTTTCTTTTTAAAATTTATATTTCTTCATGGGAATAGTTTACAAGACAATTGGTGCTAATTAACTGAACAAAAGAATGTGTGCAAGGGATTCTGGTAGTGAGAGTGTGAGTACGATAAACAGGAAGTATTAGTCTAGCTTCAGTACAAATATCTTTCGTTCCTCATGCCTTAATACTGTAGGTATTGTTTGTACTGAAACTAGACCACAATGCATCCTGTTTATCAAACTCAGAAAAGGCCTACTGTATGCAAACGTCCTATAGAGCTGTTAAGTGTGACATAATTTGAACAATAAATGACTTCTGGGCCCAAATTAATAATTACTTCTACAGACATTTTTCTGTGTCTTATTTTTTCTCTTTATAGCAGGATTTTCTGTTGATATATCTAATTATTGAAGGAAGAGAATAAATCCTGGGAATAGGTTTTGGCAAGATTTTAGAGATYTTTTGTATGTTTGGACCCAGAAATATGTCACAACTTAAAAGCTCTATTGAAATTCCCTTTGGAACTTTGTATAATTCAATTCCTTGAAGTTCTATTTTTGAGATGACCTATGGTATTTTTTGTTCTTGCTTTATTCTCAGAAATTTCTATTAAAAGATGTAGATTTGGACATGAGAGAACCAATATTGAAATTTCAAGTCAAGAAAAACCCTCACCATTCCAGAGGAGAGATGAAGCTTTATTTGACCTGTCAGGTGAGCTAGAATTATTGTGAAGATGTGTTGAACCTTATTCAGTTCCTAAACTTTGATCCTTTAGAAATATCAAATTGCTGTAGGCAAAAAAACTGGAGAGTCTGGGAAAATCCATTGAAGTGCAGAACAGAATGAACAAGCAACTTTGCTCTCTTGTGATAGTAGGTCCAGGGATTAAGTCAAGGGTGGATCCAGGGGGGGGGGGGGCAAAAGGGGGCTGAAGCCCCATTTCAGCAGGGAAAAAAAAGCAAAAAAAACAAAACTGAAGAATTAGATGCTTTTTTTATTGTTTTCTGTTGTGCTGATGGGAGAAACTCAATTAGCCCCCCTAAACTCAATTAGTCCCCCCTAAGATTTTGGCTGGATCCACCCTTGCGAGTTCCCATGATTACAGTAGTGAGTGGTGTGCATCAGTATAGCCCCACACTACCTGTGCTTAGCTATGTTAATTGTTTCAACATAGGTCAAAAAACGTGCTTATGAAATATGGGGTGATGAAGAAGGCTTGGAAGAAGCAAAAGAAGAAAGAATAGAAAAGAGAGAAATACAGAAACAGAAAAAGTTTGACAAGAAAGTGAAAGGTATATTGATCAAGTAGATTAAAACATGTTGCATGAAGTATTTCAAGCACACAGGGATTGAAAAAAAAAAACCGGTTGTATAGTGGAGTGCTTCTCGACACACCTCTCATATTCTGGAAATCCCCAAGTGCTTTATAACTGCTCACAGAATGCAAATTAGGATAGACATTATTTGGGGATGCAAATGATAAAATAGAAAGTGTGCACCAACTACAGTTAGTTTAATAAATGATTTTTCAATTCAAGCTGATAAGGTTTTGCATCTTTAAAAGTAGTAATGATTTTTTTGTTACTGAATTGAAGTAAAGTTACAGCATTGTTAATTCAGTAATCTTAATTTCATGTCAATAGAATTGCGTAAGGCTGTCCGTACCAGTACTTGGAGAAAAAACATATCCAAGCATGAACATGACTATCCAAAAGAAGGAGAAGGAGGGGAAACATATGACGAGGAGACAGACTCATGGACTAAGACTTGCAAGACTTGTGGATATCAGTTGACATTTGAAAAAATGTAAAATAATATACTCAGATATTACAATGTCTTTTGTTAGCTTGATAATAATTCAGGAAACATGTAAATAGGTTTTCTTTATTAAACCAAATGAAAATAAAAAAATATACAATTATGTAAGTAAAAGACTCTGATGCAAGCATACTCATGCAGTACTCAAATTGTTCCTGGATTTTTAATTTCTAGTATACAGTATAATATGATACATATGATTTCAATTTCTAATTTTTACAGACTTTATAAGATATATAGTATTCTCCATAGCCCATAATGCTTTGCTTCATGGGGGTAACCAATCAAAAAACTGTCCCAAATTGAAATGTTTTTCAATAGCGCAGTGCACTGATTCTAAAAATAGCTTAAAGATTCGGACAAACATCGCATTCTGTTTAACCGCTATGAGGATTATACGAACCGATTTTATTATTTTTACTTAAAGTTACAATAATAACCCATGTAAACTAAGATCAACTGCGATCGGCTGTGAAAATTATCTGCTGAAAGTAAACTTGTAAGTTTGTACGAATTTCGCCTTTGTCTTCGTTTTTATGACGTCACGGTTGCGCTGCGCTATTGAATACATACTATGCCTGCTTTTATCTGTACAGTACTGATTATCAGTTTATTCCGAGTTAATTTTGCACGTACAAAACATCAAGGGCTTTGGTGTTACGGAAAATGTATTGACTTACAAAGAAATGTTTAATTACTTCAAAGTTCTTCAAGCTCCTATCTTTTTCTGTTTTTACCTTATTGTTTTATATTTGGATATGAAACAAGGTGTTTTCAACATTGTCTCAGCCTTCAGCAAAATAAGTGCGGCTTTTTGCTCTGGTTACCCGCCCAAAAGCCGCAAAATATTATGGGTATGGGAAAGTAGAGAATGAGGGAAATTTACGTAATGTTATGGTAATTCTAAAATTATTTTTCAAGCTTATGTTTTTCTTGTAAAGTTTTAAAAGTTTTGTCTACAATAGTTGATACCTCTGCCATCCCTCCAGTTCCTGTAAATTGATAATAATTCTTTTTATTGAATTATCAAAGAGAGAGAGAGAGAAAATTCCAGGTGTCTGGGGTTTGGGGTTCCGTCAATCAAATTTCCAATGGTCTGGTATTTTGAAGCCTGCTTAGTGTCCTTCAATTTATCCTTCCTGTGTCATAAAGGAGGGAGAAAGGGCTCGCTCTCAGTCTCCAGCTGGTTGCCAGCCAAAGAAGAAAAAATTAAACCTCAATGCAAGGAGAGATGCCTGCGGACAAAGCTAGTTAATAATAATGGGTGTAAAGTATGTGACCCCACCCTCACCTGTATCACCACAAGCTAGTTTCTTCTCAGTGGTTGATACATAAATGTACCCCATTTTGCATAGTGATTCCACATGGGTTGCTGTGATTGGATGGCTCCACATATGGGTATTCATTGCAGGACAAAATATTAAAGGTTTATTCATATCCCAAGCACGTACTATGCAAGTCTGAAACAGAAAAAAAATTGGGAAATTAAAATTACTTACTAGTTGTTTCGAGGTTTGATAAAATAACCAAACATAAGTAAGCTATCAGAGTTTCATTGTCGTCAAAATTATTTCAAACATCAAATTTTTCAAACCTTGAAACAGCCTCAGCCTCAGGACCTGGTCTTACTAAAGGTGGATAGTGCTATCCAAAGGAAAAATTCTATTCCAGTTAATAAGTAGATGCTGTTATCCAATGCATTATCCACTGGATAAGATTTATCCATATCTCCCTTATTGTCACTAGAAAAAATATTTTCCCCCATCCGAATCCCCATAGCAGCCAACTTCATAAACTATGAACACTTCCAAAGTTGGGGCAATCAACAGAATGAACTGGAATGTTAACATGTTTGGTTTTGTAGAGGGAGGAAAAATTGAACCTCCTAGGGGAGGTACTACCACCCCAACTTGGGTAGGGGTGGCCACCAGGACCTCAAAACCCTGACCCTATCGCACCTGACCCTATCCCAGACCTAAAATTTTGATTTTACATACCCTACCCCAGACTAAAACTAAGAGTTGTATCCCCTATCCCAGACTAAGCCCGGTTAGTCAATAGATTGCAATCAATATTTACTAACGTTTTTATTGTTTTTGTGCCATCAGAAAGCGTAGTCTATTCGCAAGACTAAAACGACCAAATAGTAACCCTATCCCAGACAAAAATTATACCCTATCCCAGACAAAATGTCAAAAAATGAAACCCTATCACCAACAGCCAAAAAACCATACCCTATAGGGTGGCACATACCCGTATAGCAAATATAGGGGAGTATCCCCCGGGCTGAACCTAAAGAAAACTTCATGAATCAAGGGAGATACTGTAATATTTTGTCCTTGAATGTGATGCAAGGTACAGGAAATTGGGAGCCCTAGACTCAGATGATCTTGCAGAAGTAAAAATTGAGAGGACTTAAGCACCAATAAAAACAACTTTGATTTCGATGCATGTATATACATATCTCATTGACTCACCAATAAATTATCACATAATCCACCAGCAATTTTTGCCATTGTGTTGGCGTCGAGTGGGGCAATTACCATGATGTCAGCCCATTTACGCAACTAGAATCAAAAAAAAAAAAAAAAAAAAAAAAAAAAAAAAAAAAAAAANAAAAAAAAAAAAAAAAAAGAAAGAGAAAAAGATAACATGTAACATGTACTATTTAATTTAATTTTTCTAGTTACAAAACAAACACTTTCTCAAAAACGACAAACCTCAATGTGAAGTACAGGGTCACCCATTTTCATCCAGCTCTGGTTAAAAACAAAATTGCATTTCTTTCATCAAATAAGATAAAGATGTTCAAATAAAGAAATGAGAAGTAAATGATTGGATGGAAATGATCAAAAAACACTGAAAGATCTTGAACCTGCCATTCATCGGTATCTCTATAGACTTTTACAGGAATTTCATTGACATCAAAGAAATGAGTTGCATGGTCTGTAGCGACAACTTGCACATTTAGCTGTGAACCATTAAAAAATATTCTTTAAAACAAAACTAGTCACAAATATCACGTTTTATAATGTAAAAATTTCAAGTCAAAAGAATGTCATGAAATACATCGTAGACCTTGATTTTTGATAAAAGAAGCTCCTGAATTAATTTTCCAAGTTTTATAGAAGCAACACTTCCAGTTACGCCGATCAAAACATTCTTATGAAACTGAGAGTTTTGAACTTCTTCTTCGTCCGCCATTTTGATTTCTATCAAAATATTTGGCTGGGCTCCCTGTGGAAGGACTGGTATTCAAAAAGAGAAAAGAAAGCCTGTCTCATTTAACAAAAGAAGGAAGTGGATTTTCAATGATTTTTAAAATAAAATCATGCCTATTAACAGCTTAAGAAAGTAATAAACTGAGATCCTTGAACTATCGCTTTTTGATTTTTCGTAAAAAAATATGACTGGGCTCCCTGAGGGAAGACTGGTAATGAGAGAAGAACGCCTGTCGTATTTTTACTTAAACGACGTCAAAACGTTTTGGAAGGAAGTAGAAAGTGGAATATTTTTTTAAACTTTCAAACTGATAAGAGATCTAAAAAATGAACAAAATTTGCACACATTGTGGTGCTAGTGCAATCGAAGTAGATGATGAAGGTAAACTTGAAGTGTGCTCTAACTGTGGCGTGGTTTGTAACGAAGGAAGTTTTCACAACGATACGCGAGGTGCTGTACGAACCTTTACGAGCGACCATTCCAGCTTCTCTGGAGGAGCAGGAAACTGGAGAAAAAAGGAACAACATCGTGTGAAAAATAAACATTTTGTGATTGCAAAGAGATGCTTAGAAGGCCAAGCAGAACGTCTTCGCTTATCCAAGGAATACACAACACAAATCGAGGAGAAGTTGAAGACTTTGTACGAAGAGCAGTTATATAAAGGTCTTCCAAGGAACCGTAAGGCATTTGTAGGAGCATGTGTTTACATTGTTTGTAGACAAAATGATATGGTAGTGACCCTCAGGAACGTCGCTGAAGCAGCTCGATGTGACGTGTCTATCTTAGCACGCTGTGTTAGGATGTTAACAGATGCAATGAACGTTCGAATAGTAGCTATTGAACCCGACGAAGTAATTACGAATATCTTGTCACAGTTTGAGATCCAAGATCCCTCCACCAAGAAACTAGTTCATGATTTGTTCCAGTTTTGCTCCAAAACAATGATAAGTTTGGGGAAGAGAATTACTTTGACTGTAATGGCCTTGGTGTTTATGGTCATTGAGGGTGAGAATAAAAAAGCCTTAAGTCGCAAAAAAATTGCTGAAGTTTGCCGTTTTAACACTGTAACGCATGAATATGTACAGAGATTCGTACGCCAATATAGAGAAGAATTGTTTAAGCTTGCAAAGAAAATTCCTTGGATGAGTTCAGAGTTAACTCCAAAGAAGGTGCCCAAATTTCTGAAGGAAATTCTTGAATATTATAAAGACTGTGAAGATTTCCACAATGTGGACTTCAAACCACAATGGCTGGAAAGAAAGGATTTAAAGGAAAAAGAAAAAATGCAAAAGATTGAGAAAGCTGAGAATAGAATAGCTGCTTGCCAACAGCGCTGTGGGGATTTGGAGATTGATGACAACATTTCTCTTCATAAATTCTGCAAGCAAATATGCAGAAGCTCAACTCAAACTTCTAATTCTGAAGTCTCATTTCTGCCTTCATCAGCTTCAGTTTTGCCAACAGAATCAGAACTAGGCAGCGAGGATAAGCAAAAGCACTGCAAGGAAGTTCCCAGTAACTCTTCTGAAAATCCTGCTTCTGATGTCTCATCTTTGCCTTCAGACTTGTCCACAGCTACTGAGCTAGTCAGTGAGGATGACCAGATGGATATAGATCATGTTTGCTGCCCTCACTGTTGTGTAAACAAACAGGACTGTCCAGTTTATCAGAGAACTGGTTCATCCCGTTTCTGCAAACTCGATGGATGTGATATGATAATTGAGTGCTTGCTGCGTAAGGGGTATTCTAGACAACGATTAATAGAAAGTAACCCAGAGTCACTCTTTTACAGTGAGAATTATAACACTGACTCTGAGGCAGAAAGAGAAGAGCTGGATGATGGTGACATTTGTGATGAAGACATTCATCTTTATATTAAATCTGACCATGAGATTGCACAGACACAAATGCTCAAAATCAATGTGACCTCTTAGTGTAAGAAGACAAGTATAAGAAGCATATAACTCTAAGATGAATTGAGACTATACAAGACATATCCTGCCAGTGACTAATTATTATTTTTGTCAGCAAATGTTACACTGTTTTGTTTATTCTGATTTTGATAGATGATATCTAAACTTACAGTTGAAACATGTCATCAAATTTCAAATATCATGCACAATTCAAACTTCAAATATCAAGTGCATTTGTACATGTGAAAGTGCTTCAAGCCTAATCCCTTAATATTAGACATTCCAAGGTTGAGTAAAATCTGGGTCGATTTGGCATGACAGGGCATTGTGAGACTGTTTTATCTCTCCTAAAACAGCAACGTACTGTAATGCCAACTTGACCAAGGTTTTTCCTCAACCTCGGAATGGCGCAATATAGCAGCAACTTCCTTCAACAGTCCTTCCTTATCACTTTGATAGTTTATATGTTTAATTAAATTGTTTAGTTCTACAGCAATAATAATTATTTTCGTACCACTTTTGTCCATAGAAATATAATATTGGCAAGGGCAGACTAATATATTATGTGATGAAAAACTTTGTGTCGAAAGATTGGTCGTTGATGTCATTGAAGATTTCAGTGCTTTTACTTGCTTTTACTTCAGTGGTATTACTAAAATACGGAATGCCATTGGAGAATCTCTCAAATCTATGACTCGCAACCTTTTCAAAAAAAACCTTAAAGCCTCTATAATATCAAATTATTGATAGTTCTATGATGCACTTTTCTAGTCCAGCTGATAGGAGCACAGCCCATTTTGTCTTGTCTAATGTCTTGTCTTGTCACCGGCTTATCTTGTCTTGTCGTTTTTTGTTTTTGTCTTGTCTTGTCTTATCCATTGCTTTAGTCAATCAGCAACAAATAGATTTTCTCCGCATGGCCCAGCCACTTAGCTCGATTAGCTATTGCTATTTCTAATTGGCTGTGCTCTTATCACCTGCAATTTCAACTATTACTATTTATATCTGTAAACTATTGAGCACAAAAAAGATTGATTGATTGATTGATTGATTGATTGATTGCTCAAATGAAAACTATAATGCTGATTCTAATTCTTTAGAAATTCATGTCGTTCTTACATCGCCTATTGCCTATTGATTCTATTTATTCATGTTTTCACGTTTTTCCCCGAAAATCAGAAAGCAAAATCTTATACATCCCGAACCTTGTATTCGGCAATTCTCGAGTCACAAGAATGCCAATTCCCGAATGGCGTAAGATTTATTTCTAGTCTCCCGGTTCCCGCGCTATATTATCCGTTTCCCGGCTCCCGCGAATACCCTTCCGGACCCTGTATAAACTTATACAACCGGATGAAAGGACAAAACTTACTTTCACAAAAGAATTGTCCTTCTCAATGGTATTAACCTGTGTTATCCTACAGGTTGAAAGGACATAGCTTACTCTAAAAAAAAAAGACCTAGATGGTACTAACCTATATGCCGTATCATAGCGGTTGAAAGGACAAAGCTTACTCTCACAAATGAATCGGTCCTTCTCAATGGTATTAACCTATGTTATCCTACCGGTTGAAAGGACATAGCTTACTCTCACAAATTGTCCTTCTAGAGGGTATTAACCTATTTTTCCCTACCACAGCGAAAATAAAGTAATTTACTGGGATTTGAACCTAAGCCAAAAATAAAATTAAAAAAATCGATTCCACTGTGCCATACCCCAAGACATCCGCAGAGCTGAGGCGACGTATGGACTTCGGACATGACGGCGATTAAATCCTTCTGCCCTTTGGTGCACGAATTACGCAAGAAAATGTTCTAGCCGAAGCATCAGGGAGAGACCAGCCTGCCCCCAGACCATATCGGCTAATCCCTTGCATCTCTGCCACGCACGGAATCGGTTGCAAATATAATGTTGAAAATCCTAGTCTATTTTGTGCATTTTTTTCACCGCTATTGTAGTGCAAATTTCGAGGAGCCGTGGCCCAGTGGCAAATGTTTTCTCGTGTTTGGAAACCATTATGAAACACTCTCACTCGTTTTTGAAACATTACTAAAAAGCCGTGTACTTTGGGAGAGGTTATATTTTGATCAGCAGAAAAACTGACATTTCCGTGAATACTAAGTCTGGATTTACTCTAATTCGACAAAATTTCGTCACAAGTTTCGAGCAACAGTGACACAAATGAAACGCTTATAAAATTTTGGAGTATTATATAACTCAGTTAAATAAATAAAAATCGTGATAAGTAACTGTCTTGTCGTTTTTCTGCCCAGTCAGTCGAGGTCAAAATGTTATGTAGTGAATATATACGAGTCACTCAAATTATTGAAAGCTTATCTCATTCTTTCGTGCGTGCACACTTGTCAGAAACAAAGCTCTTCTTTTTTAGTGTTAATTAATCTATTCAAACCGAACCTTAAAACTTAACGGTCACCGGTTCATTTTGTGAGATAGAAAGCTAGTTGTCGACGCTCTTACGCTGTAGTCCACACTCAAGGCGGTTTCCGTTCAAAATGAGACGAAGCTCACGCTCTTCAGAAAGCTCCGAAACGGGTTGTAGCCAAGAAGAACATGGATTTATCAATCGTTTGAGTAATATTCCTGTCGTTAAATCGGCTGTGTCGCAAGCCTCGAGTATTTATACCAAGGCAAAGGAGGCAAATGCCATGGCGAAAATTAGTTTGTCGTTTGCAGAAATGTCACTGAAGGCTGCAGTTGAATCTACAAAGTTTGCTTACAATGTTGTTCCTATGCCTGGATTTGTTGGAACAATAAAGGAGGAGGCAGAAAAGAAAGGTAGGTCCAAAGAGACATTGGTTTGGGAATTGAGAAGACGGACCGTATGACCTAACCCATGGTACTTGACACCGATCACTAGCCTTTCACTGCGAGTAGAGTTTCTCCTCTTACTCTCTATTCTTATCCTCTCTCAGATTTTAACAAAGGGAAACATCTGAAAAGTCGGTGTCATCCGGTGAACAGTGATTTCCGCGCGATGTACTAGGGGGCCCTGTTTTATATCAAGAAACATCTTTCAGGGACGGATCGAGAGTTTTGCAAAGGGGCTTGATAATCCTATTTTAGCTTTTCCAGTATTGTCAGCCAGTCAGTCAGACATTCTTAAATTCTCTTGTATGTGCGCGCAGATGGTAATACATATATTATGTTTTAAACAATTATTATTATTTCCTTGTGCACAGTTGGTGAAGCAGATGCCTTAGCATGCAAAGGTTTGAATCTTTTGCAAGAGAAATATYCAGCAATCATGAGTGAGCCTCAAAAGGTCAGATAAGAGAATACTCACTCCAGTTTCATGACACAAAGTTTTACTGCTTCTTTGCTATAATAATGTATCAAATTGAGCTGATCCTCGCAGTATATGAAGCAACTTATGCAGCTGCAAATCGAAAGACTCTGAAAAACTTATTGCTTTAATCATGTTAACGCTTTTTTGCAAATATGGTTTCCCATGGTATAATATCTCGCACGCGTAGTGCCTGCTCTTCTATAGGCTTCCTGTTGTAAACGGAAAAGAGGGATATTGAAAAGATGAGCGAGAAATTAGTGTTTTTAAGTGTAAGAAAAAGTAGCCCAATTCGAAAAGTACTATCGAGAGATGAAGGAAAGTATGTGGTAGACTGTTACTACAGTATCACAAACTATGATGTTCTTCTTTTAATTCATCTTTATCAGTGCCAGGCGATTTAATTTCGGTTGACAAACATCTTATTACTTTATCAGATTCTCTCAGCTGGCATGGATAAGATAGAAAAGTCCGACGTGATCGAGGCGGCTCTTATAGTAAGCGAAGCTGCTTTGGACTACATCAGTTCTGCTGGAAATAATTATAACAAGGAGATGAATGGTAATGTTAAACCGAAAGTTGTATCTAACAAGAAAATGGATAGGATATTGGATGTGTCTCAAAGAGCTGGCATGGGAGTCTATCGCGGTGGGTCTAAGGTAGGTAAGAGTTATGTAAGGTATCAGTATATCATGGATGGTCTAGGGTAGGTAAGACAAAATGCGCAGTGTACAGTATGGTGATGTATCATGGATGGTCCAGGGTAGTAAGACAAAATGCGCAGTTCACAGTATGGTGATGTATCATGGATGGTCTAGTGTAGCTAAGACAAGCTGCGCATTATACAGTATGGTGATATATCATGGATGGTCTAGGTTAGGTAAGACAAGATGCGCAGTGTACAGTATGGTGTTATATCATTGGTGGACTAGGGTAGGTAAGGCAAGATGCGCAATGAAATATATATATGTATATGCAATATACGTATGGATGGTCCAGGGTAGGGTAGGTAAGGTGCACAGCGTCGTATATACAGTTTGCTAATCTATTCGGCTTTTATATATAACTATTCAGATTTGTAATTGTTTTGTAGATTATTTGGAATACGGCAACTGCACCATGGTACGCAACTAAGATCGGTCTTAATCTGGCAAATCAAGCCGCTGTTGGAGCTGCGCATCTTACAAGAGATGTAATTTCAATCATTCCAGGCTTCTCTGTAAGTGATGTTGATATGGACAATTAAAGCGCATTAAAAAGTAAAAGTACATAAAAACGCAAAGTATGATTTTATGAATCTTATCTCTAGGTACTGGTTACACCAAGAAGAAAAGTTCGTAGATCGCGACGTCGCATCCAAAGAAAACCAGTTCCTAATCAATCACAGTTCCCAGTCTCCCCCGAGAAAAAAAGAAAGCGGAGTGATGGGGAGAACAATTCGGAAGATGAAAGTCTGTACGAAATGCTCTACGTCAAGGAATACTACGCATCTGACGAAGATCCCGATTACTGTCCTAAAGACCATGAGAGTGATAGCGAAGAAAACTCGAGTAATACAGTGGGTGCTAGCGACGAAGAGGGTGACTCGGGAGAGGGAGATGAGGTAGATATCAGTGAGGCGGGGGGCCAGTCTCTAACCGCTGACCAGGCCAAGAAGGCAGTCAAGTTTGGAGCTGGGCAGGTCGTTCACGCGCCACAAGGGTCTCTTGTTGTACATGTCACAGAAAATAAGCGTTCTACCGAGGTTCATATGATGGAAAAAGAAGATCCAAACGCTAGTCAGATGCCAAGGACACAACAAGTGGTGACGAAAGATTGCGCGGCTGCTATCGAGACGAAGAAGGGAGAAAAAAGTGCTAAATCTCCGGAGCACAAGACTGTTAAGTCACCAAAACCTCGAGCTATCCCCAAGAATTATGCGGCTGCTGTTGGAAAGGAGAGCGTTCTCAAAAGCCCAAGCGAGAAAACTACAGTAGGAGTTAGTAGCGCGTCGAAGGCTGGAGACAAGGCTAGATCTTTGAAGACCCCAGATACCAAAGACGTCCCACGGGTGACGAATAAAGACGGCGCAAAGAATGGAGTTGCAGCTCAGGCAACGGATTCTAATGTCAGCCAAAAGGATGATCCATCTACAATGAAAGGAAGAATTATACTTTGATGTTTTCAAATGATCCCTCCTGTTATTCTCACTAACTACCCATGCTAGTAATGAGGCTTTCTGTGTAATAGAATTCATTGAAAAATTATCATTAAACAAAGTAAGAAGGAAACTCGAAGTCTTATTTTGTTGGGGGTTGGGAAATGACTGGGAAGGGGGTCAAGGGGGTCGTATGCGACCGGTATAAATTGCAGAAAACGTAACAGAGCGATGGTACTTAATCCGTGAAATAAAAACAAAATAGTTATTAACTAATAGTCGCAATTTAGTGCCTATTTAGTCGATATCACTCAAGTGTATCAATCTACATATGAATACAGTAACACAGGAGACATCAAAGTTAACAGAGAACAAATAAAGTATTGATGAACAAATGACTAACATGTTTCTTGTGTATTTGATGTCTCCTGTGTATTCATATGTAGATTGATACACTTGAGTGATATCGACTAAATAGGCACTAAATTGCGACTATTAGTTAATAACTATTTTGTTTTTATCCGAACCGAACCCCGCAGGACGTCTGCAACGGAGGCTATCTACACCGTGGAGGAAAAAGAAAACAAGTAGAAATCTCAATGTTATGAAACCTAAAAGCTGTATACCTTGTGACTAAAACAGTCAAAGTAAAACAAAAGAAAATCATGGAAATTGTGTCGACTATTATGTACTTTTCCCGTGACGGAATAATCAACGTAATGCGTAAATTTACTCCAGTGACCTTGAATGACATTGTATTTTTTTAATCAAGCGCTAATATTTGCAGAGTTTTCAAAACTGACTTAAAGTGGTCGACGTAAAATTTCAAGACAGTTTTGGCTATTTTAGAATAAACCCGACTTTCCAAGTAGGTCTAAAAAATATTTTTCAAGATGATGTAGAAATAAAAAAATTACTCATTTTGTGAACCCTTCGAGCCAGACTTTACCCGCTACAAAGTATGATTAGACTAGACCTTCGCTGACTTTGAACTTTGTTCGCAAGCCATATTACGTCATCTCCAAAAAAAACGTGTCACAAGGCATGACTTAATACTACAAGGCACTTGATTGGTCAAATGTCAAAACGTCATAGGCACGGGTTTCTATCATCGAATGTAATTGGATGGAGTACTTTGGAGTTTGGTACAAAGATCAGCCCCATATTTGCAATATATAAATACAACGCGACTTGAGTTGATCAATTCATTCTGAGAAAAGTCGTTGAATTTGTACTGTTATTTCTTGAAAATTCTCAAAACTATATCTGCTATGGCTGCTGCTGAAGTTCAGGCTCCTCTGGAGCAAGATAACGCCATGGAATCATCAGAAAACAAGTCCTTTTCGTCTCGTCTTTACGAGTTGCCTGTCGTCGTTGCCGCCATTGAACAACTTGGTCAACTGTACGGCACTGTGAAGGAGAGAAATAGTGTCACTAAAATGGCCTGTAATGCTGGAGAAAGCACTCTTTCAGTGGTTACTTCAGTCTCTAAGCCTATAATCGAAAAGGCTACCAATACTGCTTTTACTTTGGCCACACCAGTCGTTGGGAAGGTCGAAGATCCAGGTACGTATTTATACGAGAGTCGAACGCCATCGAAGTCATAGGCTTGTTTTTTTTAATTAGAAAAGTTTTTTTTTAATATTTTGAAAGTCATTTTCTATATAACAAAGTTTAAGTTTAATTTTTAGAGCATAAGGTATTTTTGTTTTTGTTTTCRTTTGTTTACATAGAATTGACGATGAATATTGTCAATGATCATGTCGTGCTTTGAAAAAGTCAGATGAGCTTATAACTTGTCGTTCGGTTTTTCTTTCACTTTCATTTTAAGTTTTACAGAAAAACTCCAGTACTTTGGAATATTTCCAGAAAACCGAGACATGATCTCATAATCTGTCGTAAATAATCTGTATAGAATGATAGGTTCAAAGTTCATTAGTATTTCACAATCAACTCATTTCCTGGTTAGTTTCAAAGTCCATTTATAACAATAGCTCAGAATATGTAACAATCAATGCATTTCCTGATTTTATATTGTTTAATGATCATAATTAGATTAACTCAATCTACATATTACATGACATTTATTTAGAATCTGGTAATGGTTTTAACAAAAATTGTGTTAGATAACTAGCTAAAAACTAGTGTGAGCTGCATATATTATTATTGTTACTTATATATATTATTACTTAAAGGACTTGAAGTGGTAGACAACTAGCCTGAAATATCAGTCAAATATTATATATGTTAACCAAAACCTATTATGAGAACGTAAATATACATGAAATGTGGCTAAAATGTGTGTGAAGGAATTCCATGTTTGTGGAAATTGTCATATAGATCAGCTATAGGGCATAAGTTGTCAAGTACCTGCTTTCTTATTGGTGTACTTACTTATTAGAAATAGCATCAGGGTTTTCATTGTGTTTTGAAATGATAGGAGAAGATCATGAACTGCAGAAAGTCTTGGGGACTAAGTAAACATTTTACAAATTATAAACTATTAATGGTAGTTTAAGCCAGAAAATTTTGCTCAGATTTTTTATGAGCTGATTGCTGCATGTATTACCTATATAATAAGGCTTGGCTGACAGTGTTCCTAAAATTTCTCTTCTTTCTGTCAATTTTTATAGTTGGAACTATTGACCATGTTGCATCAGAGACTCTGTCAAAAGTGGAGGAAAAATTTCCCATAATTACCAAGTCTCCAACTGAGGTAGGTAAAATACAGCATCCAGCACAGCAATCAATATGCCATTTGATGAAATGCTTTGACATAACAATTTTATACCACAACAACCAAGCAGGGCTTAAATAACGGGCAGTAAGTCACCAGTCATGATGGCTGGCCAAATTAGTTTTAGCTCAGTCATACCTCATTTCTGGCTTAACGTTCTAGTCAAAATGTCCGGCAAGGAAAAAATTTGACAGGACACATTTCAATTCTGGGCAGATATTGTCCAATGTCCAGCCATTTTAAGCCTGGCTAAGCACCCTTGATTTCCAGAGTCATTCATTATGCTGCTACTTACTTTAGATTGCTGAGATCACCAAGTCTGCGGTGACTTCACGTGCCTATGGCTATTATGAAAATGTCCAAAACCTGGGCATCACCAAGATAGCAGTGGAAAGGGCTAATGATTTGGTCTCATTCACTGAGCTAGTGGCAGAGATTGCCCTGCCTACTGATGGCACCTGCAAGGAAGACATGGATGAGCTTGCAGAAGCTGATAATGATAGGGACCAGGGATTGGTTGTGAGGGCTAAGCATCTGGGAAGTAGAGTTACTAGGAGAGGAAAGAGAAAGCTCTTGACATACAAACCTGTGAAGGCAACTGCCGATGTTGTAAGTATAAAATATGTGATTTTGTAACTTTGAAGAAAAATGATTTTCCTGTAGGTTGATTAGTTGTAAGTCTGTCAAGCGAAGAAATTGAATTTGGCCATACTGAAAGAAAAAGGATATAATAYTCAAGGGAATGGTGGTCTGAAATAGAAACAATGTGATTAAATTGGTCCATTCAAAATATTGTCTTGTAACCAACCCTTGAACAGTGTTGAAACCGAATCTCATATTAGTATTTTGCCTTTATTTTCAGTTGGCTTGTGCTAATGAACGCCTGCATGGTGTTGCTGACATGTCTGCTGATGCTGGTAAGAAGGTTTATGATGCCTATATGTACATCCCAAACACTGCAGTCAAGATTTCTGGAGAAGTCATTGTCTCGGCTAAGGAATTTGTCTTTGCTTTTAGCAATGTAAGTAATATTATTGGACATATTTTAATCCACATTACTGAACAGTTATAAAAATTCTATCCCAGTAAAATTTTTAAATTTTTTACAAGTCACTAAAATAGTGCATTTAGAAATGTATTTGTTTCCGAATTTTCACGATGTAGTTTCTGGAGGTAGGGTCATGGCTGTCATTCTGTTTCATAGAAACTGAAAAAAGTGTTTCTTAGTGAGGAGGTTTCAATTGTTGATGTCTTGTTCTTAGGCACATGATGTTAAGGACCTCCCTGCCGCCATCCTCAACCTCAGCAAAAAGGCTGTCGACCCTCTATCCAACATGAAGGATTCTGTCATGGCATATGTCTTCGTCCCCAGTCAAGTTGTGACTGAATACGTCCTCTCCTCTCGACCAGTACAATGGATCATCCCCCAGGTTGTCTCTACTGAAGACATGAGCAACTTGGAGATAAGCATGGAGGAGATTGAAGATGATCTCTCAGACTCTGACAAAGCAAAGGAATCTGAAATCAAGTAGAATTTAATTTAACAAGTAGTGACATTTTATTAAGATAATCCACAATTTAAACCAGTTCTATACATTATTTTGTCATCAAATGAGTGCATTATAACCAATAATAACAGTAATTTAGCTAAAAAGTTTTAGAATTTTTGTTTTGCTTCTGTTGCATATTTTTGTCTTGTTACCTATTTCATTACCAGAGTTTGCATTCCTATTATTTTGATCATCAGCAAAACCTGATGTGTTAAATTCCAGTTTTGTTGCAACTCAGATATGTGAGTTAACTAGCCATGCCTTGACTTAGAAGCCCAGAGGTTGTTTCAGTGTATYGATACAATAAATTGAAGTTCATTGGTCCAAGAAATTGAATGGTTTAGCCCTGGCTCATCCAAAATCCCAGGGCCTGGCTTTCTTCTTAATGTTATATTAGCCAATCACAAACCATCAGTAGTTTTATTTGCCAAAAGTTCTTTATTTCTGGGCTTAGACCAAAAAGAAAGCCTGCTCCACAAATAGAAAGGGTTTTTTCCTGCGAATGTCAGATATGAAACATTTTCATTTTCCCCCTTTATTTCACTTTACCTTTTGCAAATCCCAGGGGCAGATCTAAAGGGGGAGTGCACCCCTTCTAGATGAGCTGATATCTACTGCATTAGTGTTTGAGTTTGTAAGCAAAGTCATTGCTAAAATGAAAATCCTGGATGGTTCATCCCCCTAGAAAAAAATACTGGATCATTTTGACCAGTAATGTTTAGCCAGAAATAAGATATGACTAAGCTAAAACTAATTTGGCCTGTCATCATGACCGGTGACTAATCGGCAGTCATTTTAAGCCCTAAAAGATCTGAGATGTGACTGCCCAAGACAACAGGGATGACCAATTCAGTAACTAAGCTTCGAGTATCCATGAGTTAGAAAAGGACAGTTAATCAAACTGCAACCGATATATCATGTAGTTCAGTTCTTAGCATAGCAGAAATATAAAATTGCTTATTTTATTACTGTAACCTGTTGAAATAAAGCATATCTTGCAAAAATACATAATGGCTGGTTCTTTGTTGGTACTAATAAGTTGATTGAAACTCATTACTGGTCAAACTTCAGCAGGGGCGGTGGAAGCTGAAAATCTTTGGGGGGGGCACTGAAATATTATATTCAACGCTATGTGATAATGACTGCTGTTTTGTTGATTGCAGATGCATGTGCCATAAAACTATGACTGCAGTTAACCAGGCCCCCCCCAAAATTTTGGGGGGGGTCACGTGCCCCCTGGCTCTGCCGCCCCAGTTCAGAGAAGGGCAAGCACTGCCTCCCATTCTCGATCATCCACAAAATGTTTCTATCAAAAACTTGCTATTTGATAAAATCTTTTGTTGCAATGTAATCAATGTAGTCAACTAGATGATGAGGCATTTGGCCATTTTGCTACCATAAGAGAGTTTTAGTAGCTTTACTCCCACAACTTACTCTGACATTCAGAGTACTGGGCAGAAATCACAATGCAACACTGTTTCTGACAACAAATGTTTTCTTTTTATTTTAAAAACAGTTTTTGAGTGTCACTGCCAGTTCTAAGTCCAGATCTTTATTGTGCAGCAGCTGTGTTAACATTGCCTGTACTATATCTTTGCTGTTCTAGACTTACATTCAAGTGCATCAGAATGAGGAATAATGGCTTTAAAATAATATTGTCATGGGAATAAAGTCATGGCTGCTCCATGATAAATTGGCTGCCAAAGCACAAAGCACTGCACTGCATAATTTTGATTTGTATATTGCATTCCTGCAAAATTATATAAAAATTATGATGAATATTTTTGAGTTTAACTCCACCACGGTCAGTTATAAAACAATGAAATAGAGACCCCTGGCAGGTTCTGGGGGACAAAACAATAGGTTCAAATTCTCAAGAGATTGGAATTATTTTGTTTTGTCCCCCAGATGGAGCTGCTTTGAAATCAAGGGTGGATCCAGGGGGGGCAAAGGGGGGCTGAAGCCCCCCCCTTCAGCAGAAAAAACAATGCTTTTTTATATTGTTTTCCGTTGTGTTGACGGAAAAAACTCATTTAGCCCCCCCTTAAAATTTTGGCTGGATCCGCCCTTGGACATCACATGCAAGGGGTCTATTACTGAAAATTAAAAACTGGAGTATTGCTGTAAACAAGTTAAAGATTGCGTGTGATTGCACTTAAAAGGTGTCCTAAATTAATGTATAAATTAAATTTATCTCAAAGAAATAGAGCCCTTGCATCTATTGATCCCAAATGCAATTCAATTTGGAGGATGTACAATTAAAAAAAATGTTTAGGAAAATAAATTTCTCTTGTTTTGAGTTGTCCTCTAATTTAACTGCAATGGAAATATCCTGCAAGGGTTCTATACCTGGTTTGACTTGGCGTAAATGTATCCAGTTGATTCAATATTTTATTGTATGGTAATGGTAACCGGTCTTTTTGATCCACAGTCTTTTCGATGCACCTATATACACTTTTGATCCATATATATACACATTTGATCCACAAATAAAGCATACAACAATTCCTATATGCTGTGTATATCCAAAATGTAACTAATAACAGAAATTTCATAACTATGTTGGATCAATTGTGTATATATGTGGATTGAATGTGTATAAATGTGGATCGAAATTATATATAGGTGGATCAAAAGTGTATATAGGTGGATTCAAAAGATCTGGATTGAAAAGACTAGCCCTGTGGATCGAAAAGACTGGTATTTATGGTAATAGTTATGGTGCTTTTCGTCCATGCTTTATTATGGAAACCTTGTCCATTATTTTACGAAGATCTACATCAGATCTCCATTGCAAGACAGGCAGCAGATCAAGCCGCATGACCAGCAACAGACTGAAATGGAACTCGCCCATCAAAAACTCATTAAGCATATCACAGAATTGAAACAGCAAATCCTCTCCTTTTGTGAATCTCTCCAGGGATTGGATTCCTTCAAATACTATGTGGCTAAGGATCTGGATAGCAAAGCACACTGGAATTGCAATGGCTGCTAAAAGGACTGTTCCATTGTTTTCTGACAGAACTGCATGATATCCAATCAGGCAATAGCCTAGTGAATATGCAAACTGTTGAATGCAAATAAGAAGACAGACATTATGAAATGCATACTTAACTGGAGGAAGGGAAGTCTAGATTTAATGGGGAAAGCAGATCAGGAATTTGTTAGGGGGTGTCCCAAATGAAGAAATGTTTAGAGAGATATTATGCATCCTAAATGTTTCTTTTAACGGGCCTTTCACGAGTCACGCTTAAAAAGTGTAAGATTAATTACGGCATTAGGGGGGGTGTTAGTTGTACCACAGGATCTGCCCACCCCCAAAGGTTTGTAAGTAACATATCAAAGTTTTAAAAGGGCTCAATCTGCATTTTTTTCTTTTCTTGTGTTATATGTTTGAAAGGATCCAGAACATTTTCAAAGCGGCTGGCTTTTTCTTACGAAGGTATCCTATAGCATCCTTTTAGGTTCTACCTTACCATTTATTCTTAACTTTTTTTTTGACTCCAAAGAAGTTGGAGCTAGCCACCCAAATATCCACCACCCTGAATCTGGACTTGGGATTACGAAATTATCCACCATGGGCAAGGGGACAGGGGCTATGATAAAGAGGAAAGTGTAAAAAAAATATATGGCTGTAAAAATGCTAAAGAGATCCATAGTAAACTATCTCATTGTCTTCCATTGTCAAGAAAGGAAGACTTGGAGGGGGATTAATAACAATCAAACAATCAATAATTGTAACTTTACTTACCCCAGCTGGTGGCTCTTGAGCAATACAAATAACAAGCTTGCATATAACTAGGAAAAGTTGAAGATAAAAGGGTAGATATTGACCCCCTAAGAAAAGGACTGACCATGCAATACCCCAAGAAGCAAACCAATGTACAACTATGTTCCTGGAAGGGACGATGAATAAATCAGTTAAAACAAACAAAGAGTAAAAATATTCTCATGGAAATTATCAAGACGTGTAATACATTTGTTAGGGCAAGAGAAGCATCTTGAATGTCTAGAATGTATACTTTATATAAACTTCACAAAGAGAAAATCACTTAAAAATTATTTACCAGAATTTTTTATGCCCAATTCGCTTCGTTGCCATTTGCCTTGAACTATCAAAGAAGTAGTCAAAGCCGAAACCAAATGTTTTCTCTCGCATTTTCACGGTAACTTTTAAAATCTCGACGCCAGCTACACAAAGAACAATTATTAAAACTGCAGCAAAAGTATGCGACCAGACCAGTCTCACAACATGGTTACTTATCATGTGACATATAACATTACGGCCCGGGTTAATAAATTACAGTGCTTATATATTCAGCTTATATACTTTTACAGAATAACGGATATAATATTCAAAAAAATCACAATACTCATAAAAGTATCGTAATATACTTACAAATATTTAGCAGCAAAGAGAAAGTTTGTAACATATTTATTTTCAGTAGGAAACAATTTTTCTCGATCGAAAAATTACTTCCGGTTGATATCGTATTTATTCTCAAGTGACCCTGGCAGCAATAGTTCCTTTTAGGGCTATAAATTTTCTAAATTATAATACTGAGCGTTGAAAAGATATTTTCATGTAATTACAGATAACTAACAGCAAAGATAAAACTTGTAATAGTTTATTTTAGTCGGGACGGAACAATTTAAAAAAAAAAAATTACTTCCGGTATATATTGTATTTCATCTCAACCCAGGCTTCTCGCTCTTCTTTTGTTTGATTCATTCGCGACGCCTTGGAGAAAATCAGGATTTGGTCGTTTTGAGTTCACACGAGAATATCGAGGAAATCTTCTCTGTTTAATTCAGAAACGTTTGAAAGGTTAGTATAATTACTTACGGAATTGTTGGTTTATCGTTCGGATGRATTTTTTGAGGAAAATGTCCAAAGATTGTCCTCAAAGTGAGACCTGTTTAGCGTAAATCGAAGACAGTTAATGACATTTTTACAAGGCTAATAATATCAAGAACCATAAAATGGAATTTAAATTAATTAGGAACGAATAAAAAGAAGCAAATGATACCAACTAACCAGCACTTCGTGGTATATCCTTTAGGACTTCAATTTAGTACGAAATAACAAAAACAAATCTAATTTATAAGCGAGAAAAGGTTTCATTCATTTTATGCATAAAACACAAAACTGTCATCACGAAGTCTAGGGGTTAAAGATATCATGAGAACAAAAAAAACCCACAAGAGACATTTTGGTGAGAGATGAAAGAGATGTAAACTTAAATTTTAAGATAGATCTTAAACTTTCATCAGTTTTTCCGGGGATGGGGAATTGTTTTTTGGGGGGTGGGTTGGATAAACATGTATTGTTCTCTCAGGGAGGGGGCAAGTCTAGTTCTTGTTTTGTGATTGGAGTTACTGCATGGGGGGAGGGGGGGGGGTTGGATAAACATGTATTGTTCTCTCAGGGAGGGGGCAAGTCTAGTTCTTGTTTTGTGACTGGAGTTACTGCAAACACTGTGACCTGGAATCTATTTAGAACTGTGGTTTCCTTTAAAAATGCTACCTTTATTTGAAACCAGTGGATGCAGAGGTGTACGGTTGTTTCCCAGTACATGGTATGATAATAGAAAGRGAAGATGTGTACATATATATTGTACAATGGCTGTACATAAGTGAAAGGAAAAACAGTGGTAGTGTTGGAAAGGATAGGTAGTGACAATATAGATATTAGTCCCTCGAGCTTGGGGAGCTGAGTTGGTTGGTTCTTTTTCTGACTCCGAGGGTTTTTCTGGTCCTCCGGTTTTTCCTCCCTCCTCTCAAATCAAAGCTAACTAATTCAAACTGGTTAGAGCTGTGCTCCGGGGTCATACATGGACTGTATAGAGGCTGCCCCAGCTGCGCCACTGCTGTACTTGCGGTGGTGATAAGCAACGACAAGGTTGTGAAAAACATTTTAGAGTTGGCATTGCATTGTGGGGCTGTTTTAATTAAGGGAAGAGATATTTCCAAGATGAATTCTATTTTGTCCCTTAAAACAGTTCCCCAATGCACTACAAATCCAACTCAACCCAGTTTTTTCCCCAACCTTGGATTGGCTAATGTAGAAGAGGAAAAATGTCGAAAGTAGGGGGAGGAATTATGTTGACATTAGGACAATATAACGAAACATTGTGTATTGGCATAAGCTATAGTAAAGGATGATTGCACTGGCTGCACTAAGGAGCAGTAGTAAATGTCAAGTGTAGCAAGAGAATACACTGACCTACGATATTGCTTATTTTTTGTACAGGACTAAATGGAAGAGCAAAATACAAGTGAAGATCAATCCCTGGATTCCATTGAAGCGTTGAGTGGCATATTGAGCGTGGTTAATGCTTTATGCAGAGGAAAAACAGAAAATAATGACAACGAGAATAATGATGATGGTTCTAGTTGTAATGATGGTGGTGATGATAATGATGACGATGATGACGATGCTTTAGGAGAAATTGGTGAGGGAAAAAACTGTTTCCTTGAATCTGAAGGGCAACGTGTCACGCACTTCACTTCTGATGAAATCAAAGACAATAACATGTCGTCACGGTGCGACTCTTTAGTGGACTCTGACAAACAAACACAGCCACTAAAACGACCAGCTGAAACTCAAAATCCATCACAAATTCATGCAAAGAGAAACTATACAATCGATGTTCCTACTTACTTACTAGATGAAACGAGAATTATTACCTTCCCCGATGTATACGCAGCAGTCAGAAAAGCTTGCGGAAATTGTTCGTCCTTGAGGGGTAAGATCAACAAGCTAGGTATAGTCGCCAAGCGGTTTCACCCATGGGAGATGACACGCCTCAAGCACGTCGGAGCCATTGGCCTTGATGTGAAGTGTTGCTCGTACATTAATTCCGAGGAATTCATTCAAATTATCCAGAACTATAAAGATGTGGAGTCTCTGTCCCCAGAAATGTTCAATTTTCTATCCGCAGTCAACCTTACTTGCGTAGCTACCAACAAGTCCTTAGACGAGAAAGTTGTCAAGGTTGAGTCAGTTTTGGACAGCAAATCGTCGAGATTGACGTCTAGTCCCCTGCACACTTTCATTGTGGATGATGAAGTCGTTGTCTGTACGGTAGAGCTGCAGCAAGTATTTGAGGCTTTGTTTGGAAAAGTTTTTTGTGTGTCGCTAACCAAACTTGGTGTCTTTCAGAAAAAATTCAACCCATGCCAGCTAGATGAGGTGATGGATTTTGTCGATATTGACGAGTCTAGCGTTTCGTCAGCGTCTTTCTATGTGTCAAAGAAAGATGGGGAAAGAGTATTTCGATACGCTGAAGCACTTTTCAATGTGGAGCAAGTTACAGTGAGATGGATGGAGCCTCTGAAGCTCACAGATAGTGCGTCGCTGACAGATAATGAGTCTTCCGACTCGAACTTTCAACGGTTCAACACAGGGAGCGTAGCTCCATTAGAAAGGGCTGCATCATCGATACCTGTGTTTGCTAGAAATACAAGTAATGTTCACTGTGTCCCTGAGATCAGTGATCGTACAAAAACAGAGACTGAGACAGACGAAGGAACTGTTTATTGTCTTCCAAACATATTGTATTCTAGTTCTGATGATTCGCCAGATGCCAGTCCTCAAAGTAATTCGCTTCCACGGGAAGTAATGAGCGACTTGTGTGAAGTTGGCGAGCCATCCAAGAAGATTTCCCCCAAAAACAATACTGAGGATATAACAGCGTTGGCAAAGTTCCAAGCTGAAGACAGCCCTTCGAGCTCATTTAGCGATGAAAATGTTCGAACTGATACTACTCGAGATGTGAACGAAAAAACAAAGTTTCTAAACATGGCAGGTCAAAACCAAGTGCTAGAGCCTTGCGTGAACCCATCGAGCACAAAGATTCTGAATCAATCAGCTTCATCGTCTGGTTTGTACCACTCGAATGAGGAATACCCATCCTCACCTGACAGTGAAACATCAAGCATCTCCGAACTTGACTCCTGTTCTTCTATTCGTACGTACCAGATCGATGGCAATGAAGTGGTCTGTATACCAGACATTCACAAGATTGTTATTCACTTGTATGGACAGAGCGTTCAGGTTGGATACTACCTACAAAGACTACAAATCCCAACCCAACGATTTTCCACGGACCATGTCAAGAGGCTTAAGGCCTTGAATGCTTTAAACTCAAAGGCGACACTTTGTACATACATTTTAAAATCAGACGCCCAACGCTTGCTCAAGATGTACGATGTCTTCTGCACAGAGAGCAAGATACAGCAGATTCAATGGAGCAACCCTGTTTCCCTGGAAGCCTTCGAGGGCGCTATTCCATACAGAGAAGAAGCACCAATCTTACCCACAGAGAGCCTGAAGTCCAAATCAGCAGATCCTATTGGTGTCCTGAAGATTCCAACTTTCAAGATAGATGGCGAAGTTGTCGTGTCTGTTCCAGATGCACACAAGGTTGTACAGGTACTGAACGGCCAAAGTGTGCAAGTAAGATACAACATGGATAAATTAGGGATAGTCAAAAGAAAGTATTCCTATTCGCAGGTGTATCAATTGCGCGCTATAAGTGACTTAAAGCGGCCCAGTATGTGCACGTTTATTACAAAGGCAGACGCGGATAAACTACTTGCTCACTACCTGACAGCCGAAAACGTGTCGAGGTTGAATTATATTCATTGGTTACCGCCTGTACAACTAGAGGAGCTTAATGGTACTCGCTCTGATGGCGTTTCAACCGTCCAGGATGTTGGTAATACTGGCAGAAGACTTCCAGTAATGATCAATTCAACAGAGACAGTAGTCTCGGATGGTCAAAGTGCGGAGTCAAATCTTGAACAGAAATCTTTTAACTACAAACGGACAAGTGATGTTTCCAAAGATATGGAAACTTTCCTGAAAGAACAAAGGGCTAGCCAGTTTTCCGCTTTACCGTTGACGTCTAAGAACAATGAATCAACTTTTACGCCAAGCTCTGTTGCTCAGAATAACAAGACTGCTGTGCATCTTTCTTCTGAATATCACCATCAAAACTACACGAAGCAAGGATTAGAAGTAGTAACTCTAGATTCAAGAATGGACGAAAACCCTTCATCGACAAGTCCAGCCATGCCAGATACATGTATTCAAGGTACAACAAGGGACCACTCCAGTTCGGGTCCTCTTGAGACTGCCACGGATAGCCCTAGGTATGGTCCCTTATTATCAGGAGCAGACGTAAGGGATTCTAGAAATACATATGATCAGCCTGCAGGTTCAGCTTACTCCACTTGTAACAAAACGTGCGCAATATCCACCGTGACCGTGACGAAGCCATGTTCTCAGAACACAAGTGATATCACTGATGACTATAGACGCCTTGTTTCTACACACAGTAAGTAGCATTTCACTATTCAGTTTGTCCGCTCACTAAGCTATGTTATTTAAAAATTGACAATGGTTTGCTTGTGTGAAATTACCCGTAAACCTCCGAAAATAAGCCATGGGCTTATATTTGATCAACGTGCCTTTTTTATCACGTCTTAGAACAGTAACGGAACGATATAATCGCGTTATATAAGGAGCTTATTCTCGGAGGCTTACGGTACTTTTGTCAAAGTATCATGTGGGCCAGAATCATTCTATCATTGCTACCCAGTTACGAAGAGAGCTATACACCTATTTGCACACTGCAAATTGTATCACAGCTGAACAACGTAATTTTCTTTTATATTGGAAAATGAAGCGTGGCTTTTGAGTTACAAATGCGATGTTTTAGTATTTTAGTCAGAAAACATAAAAGCACAAAAAATTCTGTTTAGTCTCAGATCGCCTTAATAAATGTAATTGATTAATAGGTCTATAAGTAAGTTGCTGCAATCAAGTTATGTTAATAGGCCGTTTGCACAATGGCGATATTTGACTACCACTGTGCTTCGCGAATTTTCTTGCATATTCAAATTCTTATTTCCTCATTAGAATGGTAAGCCAATAGGCCCTTTGCAGCTCAGTAATCACGTGCTGATTATAATTCACTGAGAGCAAATGAATGAACATTTTGATTCTCATGAGTGAAATATACTGGTGAGCAGACAGAATTTCTACAATCTGTTTCGAGAGATCGTAACAAAACTGCATTTCGTATCACACTGGATACACATTGTTTCATTCAGTCCTTTCCAAATAGCTAAAAAGAATCACCAATTTAAAATAAAATAAGAAAATTTGCTCACCAGTACAGACACGTGACCGTTAACTGCAAAGGACCTATTGGTGCTAATAAACTGAACAAAAGAAAGCGTGCAAGGGCTTCTGGTAGTTGAAGTTAATGACCCCGTAATGCAAATGTCCTATTAACAAAACAAAAATGCAGAACGAAATGGAATGAAGGTATGAGTGGGTTTGTATAGCACAGGTATCCCGAATGTCCCAATTCCAAATAATCCCAAATATAGTAATACAGTTCTTACAGAGGAGTCTGAAGTCCTTGGTGTCAGCTTTACGTGCCACACAGGCATAGAAGACAATGACAATATTTTATTAGGTACATAGATTAATAAGTTGATTTACATAATTTAAATCAAACCTTAAATTAGTACCAGCTAACGGAAATAACCTCAATGGCTAAACTGGTCAGTTAGCTAAGTAAAACAAATTACAATTTTTGGTCATTAAATTATATTGAGAAACATGTAGATAAGTATTAATTAAATAATAGTATATGAAAATTGGCATGGATGATGATGATAGAGGAGTCTAGGGCACGACAATAGGCCTTTTGCTTAATAATCAATTAACAAAGCAAAGCATGCCAATTAACTGAGCAGGAAAGTGCACGAGAAATTCTGGTAGTAGAAGTATATAAGGCTCTTTACATTAATGGATTCAGGATGAATTCAAGGGGGTGGCTGTTACCGAGAAAGCTAGTATGTAGCTCCCTCTTTAGATTTTACATGCTCTTTGATTAGTTTGCTGGATCCAGGATGAATTCAAGGGGGTGGCTGTTACCGAGAAAGCTAGTATGTAGCTTCCTCTTTAGATTTTACATGCTTTTTGATTAGTTTGTTGGATCCAGGATGAATTCAAGGGGGTGGCTGTTACCGAGAAAGCTAGTATGTAGCTTCCTCTTTAGATTTTACATTACTCTTTGATTAGTTTGGTGGATCCAGGATAAATTCTAGATGATGGCTGTTACCTAGAAAGCCAGTATATAGCTTCCTCTTTAGATTTTACGTTACTCTTTAAGGAGTTTGCTGGATCCAGGAAGAATTCAAGATGATGGCTGTTACCTAGAAAGCCAGTATATAGCTTCCTCTTCAGATTTTACATTACTCTTTATTCAAGGTTTTAAAACTCCAAAGGTAGTTAGCTAGCCATCCAACCCAGCCCGGATCTGCCTTGGGTATAAAACTATCATAAGGTAACTCATACGGGGATACCATAAGAGGATTGCTAGCCGCTTAATCTAGCGTGATCCGGATCCGCCTTTGGCTTAGCTGTTTGACTGTTCATTGTTGAGCTGAACATCATTGAAAATGCAACAAGGAGAATGCAGGCGACATTTGATTGCTTGGGTTAACTTTATAGTACAGTCGATAACACTAGCCAAAAGTGCCAAACCAATCAGCGTGAGTATAATATAAGCAATTTCGATAAATATTTTAACCCATTCGTCCATGTTGTCCATAAGTTTTTCGCTTCCAATCACGTAATCTCCAAAACCAACAGTCGAAAGAGTTATGAACCAAAAATAGAAACTTTCGTTGAAGGACCAATTCGTAGTCAATGTTAGGGCGTATGCCCAGAAGAAAAGAATCAACAACAGAAGCATTAGCACAAGCGTAAAGCACTTCATGTTCATTCTCTTGACAGCGGTGCGTTTGAGAAACCGCGTTTCCATGACAAAGATGATTTTGGTGCATGCATCCGTTACCGTGGCGCCGATGGAGTTAAGCGTTACTAGTGTCAGCGGTATTCCAAATATAGCCGTGGTGATAGTTAAAATTCTACCTGTTGGTGTTTTGGGCGTTATGTTACCGTAGCCTGTCGAGAAAAAAGAATTTTAGCGGAATTCCAGTCTCTTGCTTGCTATATATATATAATTACTAGAACGTAATATGTCTAAAGTTCAAGGTCTTGTCGATAGTATGCTTACAGTAGAGAATGTAGTCAATGATATAATGGTGATGATGGCGATTGCGATGGTGATGGCGATGGTATGGTGATGGTGGTGGTGGTGATGATGGTGGTGATGGTGATGGTGATGATGATGATGTTGGTGGTGGTGGTGATGGTGATGGTGCTGGTGATGTTGGTGATGATGTTGGTGGTGCTGGTGGTAATGGTGGCGCTGGTGCTGGTGCTGGTGATGGTGGTGGTGATGGGAAGGTGATGATGATGATGATGATATGTGGTAATGGTAATGATGTTGATGATAATGAGGTTGCTAACATGATTCTTTTGTGATTGGTGGATAACCCGTGTACTCTGACCAGGGAGTGTTATAGGGTACTCCACCTTACTTAGTAAGAACTACTGACCTACCTATTGTGGTACACAACGCCACCATGAACATTACTGACTTTGAATAAGTCCAGGTTTCTAAATCCGGTGGTTGTGATTGGTGGATAASCCGTGTGATGTTATCAAACTCTTCCCTCGTCATATTGTATTTTTGTTGAATATTCGTCCACAATTTCTGCAGTTTCACGTTTTTGTCGATTCTTTGTCCGGGGTCGGTTCTCTCCACAGCCTGCATTATGGCGGCGAAAATCAAGACATATGTTACAAAAAGGATCAGCCTTTTGATTGCTTGCTTTAACGTCATGTCTGTAAACTGAATGCATTACAATGAATGTCAATTCTCGCTGTTAGTCTTTAAATCAATCTACATTAGGCTCTAACTTATCTTTATTGTATAGCGCCTAGAGCATGCAGAAATGATTAGGCGCTATATAAATAACACATTACTATATGAGGAACTGCGCGTCAATCATTAGTCTCCCCCACAGCCGCTTTCAGTGTCGTCACGCAACGCTTTCTCCCTTGAGTAGCTACTCAGGGGAGAAAGCGTTGCGTGACGACACTGAAAGCGGCTGTGGGGGAGACTAGTCAATCATGGGAATTGTCATTTTATAAAAAGGGAGTGTGGGATGAAGATTTGACGCCATGCACAATGCCTTTGTCGAATATGCGCATTGAGGATATGAGAATGGGCGTCAATCATGCGACATGCGGAGCATGCGCACTGTGAATGACTGGGCCCTGGTTTCGAAAGGTGGCATAAATTGTCAGCGAGGCTGGTTTCGGTTTCTTTATTAGTCGAACTACTGCACCGGTCTTCTAAGTCTGATAACAACAGCTATAAGCTTGCTATGTGTAACTTTAATAGCAAACTGTTCTATTTCTTAAATTCACGACGCGGTTAAAACGTGGTAAACAGTTGGTCATGTTGTTATGTACGCACAAGGTGTAGCAGATTGCGAACCAGAAAGCGAGAACATTTACATTTGTAATTAAARAGGGTGATATCTAATTATGATTTCAAGCAAATCAATAAATCGTCGATAATTAAACCTAACTAGATCTAATATATACAAGTGACTTAAATAGATAGTAACGATGAACGACTATAAAGAGTAGTCAAGTACAAAAAAAGTAAAGAAAAATATCATTAGTTTTTCAGGTAGCATTAATTTCTAGACTTTCTGTCTAATCATTTTCATTTTTCATAACATAATTCCCTTTCTCATAACTAACTGTAGGCGAAGTTTGGCACTGCCTTTCGATATTACTAGGTTGTGAGTTTGGGTCAAAACCAGGTGAAGACTTAAAAAATTTAGAAGCTTTGGCTAAACGTTTTTACCTTATTTCATAAACAATGTTTTAGCACAAGTTAGCGAGAATAATTTTCTGTTAAAATTATGCCGAATTGGATCGAAGGAGAGTGCAATGTCTCCTGACTTATACAGCTATTTCAAAAAAGGTTGTCGAAACCAAAGGAGGCAGGCGATAAGTAGCCTGCACTGCATCCGGAATTTTCTGTCGGACTTTACGAGTAAACGTTCGGAGGCACACAGGCTAGCGATAAGCGATTGGTCATTCCAAGACGGAATTATGGGTATAAAACTAAACACAAATAATGAGGCTTTTTGCAAAGGTGTCGTTGACTACAAACAACGCTGGCTATCTCAACATTAATGCCCGTGTCCTTAACGAGAAAAATATTAAGATACACAAGTCATTCCTACTATTCTCGAATCTTGGAATGACCTATCGCTTATTGCCTATCGCCTTTGGCTCCGAAAACCTTGAAATAGGTATATACACTATTAATTTACACCAGCACCTGCATGCAAATGTAAAAACACACCTTATGTCGAAGTTTCATATCATCTCAGTGTGTAAAACACAACATAATAGAAAATAATAGCATTCACAAGCGCGTTTACATAACATCTGGTCCTTTCTATATGTCATTAAGCACTAGACACCACTAGTGTGCACTAGACCTTGAGGGCCATGAGCACTTAATTCAGAATTCAAATTTGAAATGAAAATCCTTCAAAATAGAATTATATATTTTGACTTGTTTTTCTTTCCTCTAAATATTTCCATAATTTAGAAATGTAAAATTTTTCTCTGGAACAGCCGAAAAATGTCTAAATCAGTTAAAACTTTGGTTGCTATTTATCAAACATTTTCTCTATGTTTCTCTAAGTTATAATAATATAGATGATTATTTGTTTGTCGTGACCTGACTTTGATCAGCCCAGAAGTTGTCTCAAGGTTCGATCTGTGAGCTGGCCGTGCCCTGATTTTGATCAGCCCAGAGGATGTTTCAGGGTTCAATCTGTGAGTTAGCCGTGCCCTGACTTAGATCAGCCCAGAAGTTGTTTCAGGGTTTGATCTGTGAGTTAGCTGTGCCGTGACTTAGATCAACCCAGAGGTTATTTCAGGGTATCGTTAAAAAACTGATTGGAAGGTTCGGAGCCGGTTGATGAGGCTATAGTCATACCTAAAAATAATATTCTTGAGCGATAAAAAAGATCGGGCTTACCTTTGTGTACACTGGTATCGTAGATAAATGTATTCCAGTAAAAGCAACAAGAGTTATTGTAATGTGCCATACCTCTCTTTTGTTCAAATACAACTGGCAAATATAATTATAATTGTATGGCAACCAATATATGCTCTAAGCCAAACGGCTAAGTAATAACAAATTCCCATTCAGTACTGACGAAAAAAGAAAAAAAGAAATTTATTCTAATAAGTGTGATTCGAGTTATTAAAAATTAAGGCGATTCATTAGGAGCGTAGTACGAAGTGAGCTAAAACCATTTGTGTCAAATTAAAGCTCATAAAATATTGATATTCGGAACGTTCTCATGATACTTAGATGTGAGTCTGTCGGTAAAGTTTAATCAGCTTTTTTTTTGAATTACAGTAATGACGAGGATCAAAAAAGGGGTTATTTTTCATTGACATCTGACTCTCAGGGTAGCACTTTATTATGTCAGTTCTAGCTCAAATACTGGCTGAACGCTATGTTTAACTTAAGCTTTGTTAATAATAAACGAATGCAGATTTTTTCTCATATATACATGTCCATTAATTAATTAAACTCTTAGGTAACCCGGGAGAAAAGCGGCTTCAAGAAGAATGCAAAGATAAGGACAGTTCAGGCCTGGAAATAAAACGATTGAAAGGTATAATAAGCCTGAAGCGAGATGACGTTTTACCCCCGACTCTATACCATAATAGTTTTTAAAATTCTTTCATATTAAAATTTTTGATTCCTTAGAGAATACAGGAACAATAGTCATAATTAAAGAACAAAAAGCAGTGTGAAAAGGATTATGGAGACGGGGGTAAAACGTCATCTCGCTTCAGGCTTATTAAGGGTAGACAAAACTCTATGAGGAACCTTAAAAGAAACCTTATGGCTTATCAACTTTATTCCCTGACGCAAATTCAGAATAAAAAACGATTGAATTGCCTTATTTGATAATGACGTCACGGTTTGTTTACATCGGCTAAAATGATAAAACATTAGGATAAATTTAAGCTTAATTCTCTTCTTTCGAGATATTTAGCGTAATATTTAGTTGTTCTTGCCTTCACCAGCTCATAAACCAAATTTCATTGGGATTTAAGATGTGTTGTTGCCATTCCATCCCCTTCCAGCGACCATGATCCCTAGCGTTAAAACAATAATTTGTTTAGATAATAAACAATAATAAACCTTTATTTCTATAGCGCTAATTTCACTTTTTGCCCTAAGCGCTTTACAAAGCAAAATCAGAAATAAAAATATAACAAGTAAAATCCTATATTTACATTATATTACCACTGATAAGAAAAAGAAAAATTGACTTAGAGAAAAAACTATAAATTTTAAGCTATTCTAAATGAATGGGTCTTTAAGGCACTTTTAAAACCTTCAACATTAATAGACTCCCGCATTGCTAAAGGAAGCTCGTTCCAGAGCTTGGGGCCAGCAATAGAGAAGGCCCGATCATCATATGATTTGGTGTTTGTTCGTCAAACTTCTAGATAATTCTCAGAAGCTGACCTCAGAGCCCGAGTATGGGTCTTATAGATAGAAGTATATCTGTTAAGATGGTGCTAAACCATTAAGGCCTTTATAAACAAGTAAAATCTTAAAAATGATTAGATGTGACGTCATTATGAAAAAGGGCAATTAAAGCGTGCATAAATCTAATTAAAGCTAAAAGTTATTATTAAAAGTGATAGAAAACTTGCTGTGTTATGATAGCATTTCATTCTCAGCCAATAGCATTAACTATTTCATTCTCAGCTGCAAATGAAATTGTACTTCCTTCTTCTTCCCTTGTCACATGATTTATCGTCAATTACTTAACTTGTCTTGTTGTTTAGCTGAGAAAGATGACATCGCAGCGACTTTAGAACGAAAAGAGACCGAAATGAAGATTTTACATGGTAAAGTATGTTTGTGTGTCACGTTCCAGTGTCAGCACGTGTACAGTGACGTCATGACCGCCATATTTATTTAAAAGTGAAGTGTTTAGATTACATTAAGAAAAAAAAGACTATTGTCGACAGCATATCAATCACTTTCTCCAATGAAAGCCTGCGTTGCTCGGCGGTCTGAGGTATTGCGCATGAAAAAAAGACAAACACACGAAAGTCTATATATTATCCGCCATCTTTGTTTAGTTTGACCCATAGTGCCTTGATGGCCGCTGTATTATCGAAGTATTACACATTGCCTCAAAATAACTTGGTAGCTTTTGGGCTTAGATTCTTTACTCGACAGTTGGATAATACTAGTCATACATAATTGATTTTGGTTTCAGACGCTTACCAACAGCAAGTTGCTTGTGAACGGGAAAACCGAATAAAAGTCGAAAAAGAAGCAGCCGAATTGAGAGGTCAGACTTCATTGATCGTGTCTTTAAAAATTAATTTGTTTGATTGCAGCAGACTATATTAATCATGTCTATATATACTTCATATATTTCAATAATTAGTCACCAAAAACCTAGAGAGCTGTGATCGCTGAGAATCATGGGGAAATGCTTTATATCCAACAAGTAAAGCTTTTGACAAAAATTGCAGCAGTTGAGGACGCTCAGAGGAGGTGAACTCGTAACTGGTAGAAGATCTCAAGACCATCAACAGTTATCAAGCGGTTAAAACATGTAAAATGTATCTATCCACAATCCTTGTCGGTCTCAGCTTTGTAGCTTTTCAGGTGACTAACTTTATTGAAATAAGTGTTTATTTTTTTACTATGTGAAAAAGTAAATTGTTGATAAATACCGCTGTTATTAGTGATCGTAGGCTTATTTCATTCTTCCCTACTCATTAGCCAAATCGATTTTCGCTATGCATGAGGAGGCTCTTGTTACTAGAATGAGGCCCATTTGTATAGGTTTACCATTGCTCATCAAAGGTCTAATGAAATAGTGAATGCTAGAGTGACAAAAGCTATCGAGGCTAACATTGTATGTATTGCGAAATATAGAAAATTTGAACAACGTGCTATATTATCTGACCTCCCCTTACGCGCTAAACAAAATTTCTGACCCGGCAAGAGGCAATGAAGCGAGAGAGCTTCTGGAACTGTGGATATAGAAATCATCCAAGATGATTTATTATGTAATATTTCAGCATCGAACGAAGAACTGAAAAAAAATCTTCAACGGAAAGAATCTGAAATGAAGATCTTACACGGTAGGATAAATGTGTTTTCTGTTTCATATCTATCTTCGCTTATATCAACGACAACAACAACAACAACAACTTCAACAACAACAACAGCTGTAACAAAAACAGCAACAACAGAAATTAGTACTGGTAGCAACTAACAACAGCAACAACAACACCAAAGGTTGGCCAGACGGATAAGAAAAAAAAGCAGGCTGCAGCTTTTATTTTTCGTATTATTTTAGATTCGTACCAGTATCAAATACGAAAAGAAAGACAAAGAAGAGAAGAATTGGAAAACGAACTAACGGACCTCAGAGGTAAGACAAACGTTGTTTCTCTTTCATGTCAAAGTACCAACGAGTGCTTTAGTGTCTTTTTTTGTGGGGGAGAGGAGGGGAGGAGGGAAGTGTTTTTTTTTTTGAGGGAGTGGGTGGGGGAGGGGAGGGGAGGGGAAACGTGAGTACGAATGATCGATGCAGATTGTACATTGTTTATCTTAATGTCTGGCGTATTTTCGCGTTCTTTTCTAGGATCTGTTGCCTTCGCTAGTGGAGTAGCTGTTAGTGATTCTCACATTAAACAGGAAAAATTCTAGGAAACACATTAAGGGAAGGTACGTTCTTTCATTAAGGGGGACTAGGGCTGAGGGGGACTAAGGCTGAGGGGGATTAGGGCTGAGGGTTCAGATGGGATGGTCATCAGTAAAAAAACTTGAACTTTTGCGGATGGTCAAACCTTTTTATTTTGACAAAAGCTAGTTCCTTGTTGACTTAATAGGAGGGACATTAATTTATTACTAAGTGAACGGGGGGCTACGACCATTTTCAAAGTATTTACTGCAAATCCCCCGGCCCTCCTCCCTTCCACCAATAAAAAGTCGTACCTTTCCTAATCAATAGACCGTTTTCTCAAGGTTGCGCGCGCACCCAAATTTAAGGGCCTTGACGGGCCACGATACCAGAACAGGAGCTTTATAATGAGAATTATCATACATTTCGATGAAAACTTTTTCGATAAGAATTCATAAGATCGATTATTCTCCGATCTAAATATAAAACTGGCTTCTTAATTTTACTGAATTTGTGTTTTTCAACTTTGTGGCTCCTCAAGTTGGATGCTTGAGAAAACGGTCTATCGAAAATTAGTGATGAGCTGCATAAACATACAACCTGTAATATATAACTATCAATGTATCTTCTCAAATGTAACTAGGTAAGCAAAAGAAATAATGTTTAAGGAAATGAAATGCAATTTATATAGAAAAATAGCTTATTTTTCTTTTGTCATTTCCGCCATGTTATTGACTGATTTAGCAAAAACCTTCTCAATAGCTACGTCCGTTAATTCCATTAACAAGGCCGCCCTGTATTTGTTTTCTGACTCTCTTGGGAATAGGTAGAAAGTGCTCTGAAATCTGGAGTCAGGTAATACATTCATTGTCTTTCTCTCTTGACTGACAGGCCTTTTTGGTATTCTCAACTTGAGTCGCCCTTAGTGAACAACAAAAACCATCTTTTGGTATTTCTATAGCTAGAGCACAGTTGATAACACTCGCCAGAGCAGCAAGCCCAACCAAAGTGAATAAAATACTTCCTATTGCCATTGCAATAGCATCTTTTTTTGCTACCAGTTCTGGTGGCACGAAGTCTCCAAAACCAATAGTAGTGAAAGTAATGAACCAAAAGTATGTGGCCTCAATGAAGGACCAGCTGGTAACCTGCGTTAGAAGTGCTGCTCCAATCACAACCATCAAATTCTTCAATACAATTATGGAAACCAATCTCTTTATCTCGATTGACTGAACTGAAGTGCGTTTGAGAAGCCTTATTTCGATGATTTGGACGAGTGTAGTGCATCCATCTGTTATCATGGCACCGATGGAGTTGAGAATCAATAGTGTCAGTGGTATTCCAAATATGGCTCCTATGATGCACAGCATCATTCCTCCTTTCGTCTTAGGTGTTATGTTGCCGTAACCTTCATAAACGAATAGAAATATGTTATCTTATGTTCCTGGAATTTCTTTGAAAAAACCTTATGAAATTTGAAAATGCTATTCCGGGAACAATTGGAAACTAAAGAAATATTATTGTTGTTCTTTACACTTTCTATTGGTAAACTTGACCAATAGAAAACCATTGGTATTTGAAACATTATATTGAAGAGCCTTAAGAAAGAAATGGTATAGGTTTTCCATACATCCGCTGTAAATGCTACTGAGATTTTAGCATTGGAAGATGTCAAATGTTCAATTAATTGGATCTCTGGAATCTTCCTTTGATTACCCTGAAAAATTCCTCTATGAAAAGTGCAATAATTTGAATAATTTGCAATTATAATTTTTTCCCCCTATGCCGCCCATTCCATTCATCCTCACATGATCTTAGGTTGTTGAAAATGTTTTCTTTCAAGAGAATATGAATTTTTTCTTCATTCTTTCTTATACACCATCAATAATAGCAGCGCCAATAAGTTCGAATTTTCAAGCAAAGGCATACTTCAATTTAAGTATTTCTTAGCCATGCCGCATTCAACGAAAAACAGCATTTTACATACCTATGGTGGTACATGTAACAATGGCGAACCTTATTCCTGTTCCATACGTCCATGGTGATTTATTCATCATTTGTGATTGTTGGATAACCCGTGTGATGTTATCAAACTCTTCCCTCGTCATATTGTGTTTTTGTTGAATACCCTCAAACAAGTTCTGTAGTATCACGTGTTGGTCGACTTGTTGGTCGTCCTCAGTCCTCTCTACCGCGTACATAATGGCGCCAAAAACCATCATATACACACTGAATAGAGCAATCTTGTAGACGATCTTACGGAATGAAGACATGGCTGGATTGAAACTGAGAAAAAAATAGATGTTTGTTATAGTGATACCTCGATCTATCACAGCGCGTCGAGGCGCAAAAACATATTTGGGAAACATGGGTGGCGTAGCGGTGAGAGCGCTCGCATCTCACCAATGCGACCCGAGTTCGATCCTCAGACTCGTATGTGAGTAGAGTTTGTTGGTTCTCTCCTGTGCTTCGAGGGTTTTTCTCCGGGTTCTCCGGTTTTCCTCCCTCCTCAAAAATCAACTTGTATATTCTAATTGAATCTAGAAGGGTCTAGATGAAAATTACTCTTCGTAATTCTAGTTACCCTCACAAATTATTCATTTATTCATTCTATTTTCCTTGAAAGAGTAATGATAAAAGGGTAAATAATACACCTTGAAAAGATGAAAAAACTTACTGATGTTTCGGACGCTAGTCCTTCGTCGGAGGACTATCGTCCGAAACGTCAGTAAGTTTTTTCATCTTTTCACGGTTTATGATTTATTCTTTTATCATTATCAGTAATAGGTTCAGTTAAAAGCGTTTAGTGTTGACTGGTAGCAATATTTGGGAGCGGGGAATTCCCACTAAACCTGATAAGTAGTTTTGATCCTATTTGTAAAGTAAAAACAACAAAATTGTCTTCTTAGGTATATTATCCTGTTGACGGGTTACTGAGGAGACAAAAATCACTCGAAAGTTTCGAAGTACATATGCTTTCAAGCATGATCCCTGCCATACTACAAAACCTATACTTGTGGAATTGAAGTGAAGATTCACGTCGTCATAACCTTTATCTCATGCAATGTTTCCCTGAAAAATAGGGTTCAATTTTTGTTTTCTTCTTTATAGAATGAACCAGTTAAACGTTTGAGCACTCTTCTCCCATATCGATCGATTTCGAATTGTACTTAGAATGGGCTTGTATTCCTTAACCAATAATAGTATCTTGGATACAGTTAAAGTTTTGAATTCTCATTATAGTGATCGAAAATTACAGTTATCTTTTGTGCAAACAGTACTGACTCGGAAAAGCTTTTAGTAATTATATTTCCATGAAGAAACGTTCGTGAAGTTGTGGAGCCGTCTGAATACTGAATAGGACTTCATGGGAATATTACCAAGGTGAAAAAACTTAGATAAAAAGGATATTAGTTTAAAAATTACCGCGATGACTCGAGTTGTGATTCAAAGGTTTATTTTTTCCCCACACATACAATTACAAGTTTTAAATTAGACACACTATAAAAAAAATAAATAAAAATTAAAAAAAAAAAACCAAAACGAAAAAAAAAAAAAGCAATATTCAGAAGTCGACTGACTGCTGGTTTCGTTTGCTTTTTCTGGCTGAGAATTTACACTAACCTTTCTGCCAGTTTTATTCCACAATACTTCAGTTCCAAGTTATTTCAGTAGCTGTACTGTCTCTACTCAGAGTAGGAAGTCACTTCTCAAGAACCAAACCGATTTTTTCCCAAAACGTTTCAAGACTGATAGAAAGGAGTTGTACGTAGCGAATATGAGAATGTTATACTGATGCTCCGATTCGTTTTTGTTGCTACTCAACAATAAAAAACAGCGGGGATTCCTCAAATGTTTACGAACTTGGTATGTAGGTAGAAGCATGAGCACAGTCCGGAAAGGAAATCTGCATCTGAATATTTGTTGCAGGTATACGGTAATGTTGAAAATAAATAAAGGAAGAATTGTAAAAAGCTAATGCTAATTAGACTGATAAAATCTATTTTTGAAAAGTAAATATATTACTACAACTCCTCTTAGTTACCGTTGCCTCAGCAAATTAGCTAGAAAATCTTAAAATTTAAAATCTGATCGCGGAAAATTGTGAAGAAATCGTTTCGGCTGTTCACTGTCATCCTGAGAAAAAACAAGAAAACAGACATCGTCTCGTATACGTAATCCTTGGCTTGGGGACAGACATTAGTTTCACTGAGAAAACCGCTACAGTTCCTTTATGTGAAATAGTGGAATAGTGATTGGTTCGCTATCAGTATTGTAGCGATGTTCGATGTTGAGTGTATGACGTTACAGACTCCAAAAAATAATCGTAAAAATATCATACTTTCGTCCTGAATATCGAGAAAACACTTCATACAGTGATTATTGGACCTTTAAAGAGTATTCTTAGGAAGTTTCAGCTGAATCCAAGTTTGAGCGATTTTCATC